TCTGTGGCCGAAGGGGAGCCTGGCTCTGGTGAACTGACCATCTGTAGCTTTGCAAAGGGCTTTATTTATTTATTTATTTATATTATTTTTTTTCATATTTTACATATTGATCCCAGTTCCCTCTCCCTCCCTCCCTCCCATGCCCCCTCCCAACAAAGGGCTTTTTTAAAATTGTTATACAATTCACACCTTTAGCAAGTCAATTTCCTTAGATCAAAACCTCTTATCTAAACTCCTCAAAGACACAATGCCAATGCTAATTCCCTGTCACTGGACATCTCAGTTTGCTGTGTCCCCAGAAACCACGTTTGCATAGGCTTTGAACCTTTAGGAAACTTTCAGATAAGGTTAACATACTTGAGCAGGGAGGTGGGACTGGGAGGTGGTGCAGGGCCTTTAATCTCAGCAGAGGCAGGTGAGAGTCAGGCCAGCCTGGTCTACAGACTTCCAGGACAGCCAAAGCTGATACACAGAGAAACGCTATCTCAAAAACAGTTTACACACTTCAAACAGAAGGTACTGGACACAAAGGGTAACAATCACAAAAGGCAAATGAAAGCTAGGTGCTTAGACTCCAGCATCAAACCAGATGCTCTGCAGGAACTCCCACCACAAGAAAAGGCTGGGGAGGTGGCTCAGCAAGTAAGAGCACTGGCTGCTTTTCCAGAGGACCAGGGTTCGATTCCTAGTACCCACAACCATCTGTAACTCCAGTCTCAGAGATCTAACGCCCTCTATGTTAGGAACTAGCAGCCAGCTGACCCCCGCCCCAGATGATGGGCGGGACGCTCATGGCCATGTCATTGCTACATCACCTTACCTGGCGGCTCAAGCTTTACCTGGCTGCCAGAGGACTCAGTTACGCATGCGCAAGCCCCCCTTTAAAGCAAGCGCGCCTCTCTCTTGCTCCCTCTCTGGTTTCTCTCTTGCTCTCTCTCTGACCCCCCCTGCTCTCTCTCTCTCTCTCTCTCTCTCTCTCTCTCTCTCTCTCTCTCCTGCTTTCGGTTGGCCACCAGCTACCCCCTCTTTCTCTCCCTTCTCTCAATAAACTCCACGTGGGCGCTGAGTCTCGTGTTTGTGTTTCTTAGGCATTAGCTGCGCAGCAAAAGAACAACACTCTTTTGACCTCTTAGGGACACCAGGAACTTAAATGGTACACAGGCATACAGACAAAACACCCATCCAAAATACTTTTTATTTAAAAATGTAAATATACATATGTTACGTATATGAACGTGTGCATGTGTGTGGGAGGCACAGAGGTTCTTGTGCTCATAGATGAACACTAGGGTAAACAGGAATGCGAAACACACATTGCCTCTTCAAAGGGAGAGATGTTTGTTTTCAGCTCAGAAGGCTGGGAATGGGTGTGGTTAATAGCCTGGTGTCCCTTGAGCTATCTGTGTGGCCAAGAGACCATACCAGATCCCCCCCCCACACACCCTTATCGTGAGTTTGCCCATCTTTGTGGTGTCACACGCACTCAGTCTGCTGACCCCATCTTTATGAAAGACGTCACATGCACTTTACAAAGTGTTTCCACGTCATCTCACCTTTTTTAAAAAGATTTTTTTTAACATTTATTACGTATACAGCGTTCTGTCTGCATGCCTGCCTGCAGGCCAGCAGAAGGCACCAGATCTCATTACAGACTGTTGTGAGCCACCATGTGGTTGCTGTCCTCACATCTTAAGCTGTATTGTGCACATGGGATTGGGTTATTGTCACCAGGAAAAACGTCACCAGATTGTGCTATGCTGGAGAGATGGCTCAGTGGTTCAGTTCTTTCAGAGGTTCTGAGTTCAATTCCCAGCAACTGCAAGGTGGCTCACAACCATCTGTTGTGAAGATCTGTCGCCCTCTTCTGGCGTAAAGGTGCACATGCAGATTGATCACTCAAGCATAAAATAAATCTTTAAACAAATGACTAAAAAATAGCTTGGGGTCAGACATTCAAAGTGTGACAAACCCTGAGTGATTACTTAATCATGCTGAACTTTCTCAGCCATGTTACCTGCTTCAGGTCATTACTCTGCTCCCCCTCTTTGGATGACAGTGACAAGCCGTGAATGTGCTTCTAGTGGACTTCCTATGCTTCTATCTGCAATGTCCCCTGTCAGTTCCTGTGGGGGAGGGGCCCTTGTTCTCTGGCAGTGGATGCTAGCTGTGGAAGGCCAGGGAAGTGGGTCACTGGGGGCAGACCTCTGAAGTCAGACCACACACACACACACACACACTCACATACGTCAGACCACACACACATGTCAGAACACAGAAAACACACACACACACTCACACACATGTCAGACTACACACACACACACACACATACATCAGACCACACACACGTCAGAACACAGAAAACACACACACACTCACACACACAGTTCCTCCAGGCCCGTGATGTGTGAACAGCCTCCACTACACACTTGCTCCTCCAAGGACTGAGTGGCTCCTGCATGCCTTCTGGCCGTGATAGGGTGGCCCACTCTGCAATCCGGAGCCCAGATCTATCTTTCCTTCTTTAAGCTGTACCTGTTGGATTCTTTGGCTATGGTGATACAAAAGTGATGGGAATCAGGCTAGAAATCAGGGTCCCAGCTGTCCTCTTTTCCTCTCTGTTACTTCGATGAACATTCCAGTAAAGCAACTAGGCGGAAAAGGTTTGTTTCACTTTAGAGGTCATACTCCATCATGAGGGCGGGAACTCAAGCAGAAATGTGGAAGAGTACCGCCAGCTTGTTTGGGCACATACTTAGCTAACTTCCTTTCCTTCCTTCTTTCCTCCCTCCCTCTCCTCCCCCCCTTACTCCTTGCCTCCCCCCTCCCTCCCCCCCCCACTTCCTCTCTCCTTCCCCCCTCCCCCCCACCACCCTCCCTCCCCCCATCTCCCTTCCTCCCTCTCTTCCTCCCTCCCATCCTTTTGTTTTCATACAGGGTTTCCCTGTGTAGCTCAGGCTGTCCTGGAACTCGCTCTGTAGCCCAGGCTGGCCTCCAACTCACAGAGACCCGCCCGCCTCTGGCTCCCAAGTGCTGGGATTAAAGGCTGCGCCACCGCCACCTGTCACAGCATTACCTAGCGCTTATGCAGCCCTGGACCACCTGCCTAGGGAATGGGGCCCTCTTGGCAAGATACTTCCTGTCGCCATGCCCACAGACTCATCTAATCTGGGCAATTTCTCAGTTCAGGTTTCCTTCTCAGGACATCTGGGCTTCGTGAAATTGACAGTTAAAGCTATCCAGTGCACCACCACCTTCCAGACTCGTTAAATTTGCTGAGCAACAACCGATGGGACTCAGGACAAGCCTTGAGGATGGAATCCTGCAGCCTCCACACTCTCTGTGTGGTATATTTATTTGGCTATTTGGAGTGTGTGAGTGTGTATGTGTTCTTTGTGATTGAACCTGGCCCAGAGAACCTGCTGAGCAAGTGGACCACTGCTGGGCCACTGCCCCCAGGAAGTTCAGCTGTTTGGAAACTCTCCCAGCCCTGTCCTTTTGAGGTTTTATGAAGGCTGCACAAGGCAGGATTGTTAACAGATGGGGCGGGAAACCCAGGAAAACCTGTTGGTTCAGATTCCTCTGGCCTCCCTTGCAACATTCCTTAGTCCAGGGCAAGGGACAGGAGTGTGGGGATGCAGGGTCTTATTGAAGCACAGGTTAAGTTCCCCCAGTGAGAATTTACTCCAACCACTTGGGAATTGGGGGGGGGGTCTTTAATAGTCTAAAACCAGCCACAAATGGACGTTAGTAAGGGATTACATAGGATTTAGGCTTTAAGATTCCCACAATATGCTGTTATCCGTACATCTCCTTAAAGCCATTGCCCCAAGTTCTGCCCAGCAATTAAACAGAGACAGGAGACTGCAAGCCTGGCTATTTTCAGTAACTGGGAGATTTAGACAGCAAAGTTATGCTCACAATTACTTTTGGAATATACCGGTATCGTTCCTTTTGGGTTGGCATTACCCAGGGCCTTCCTGCCTGCCTGGCAGACTACCTCATCCCCATAAGAACTGGAACGTGGGACGTTATGGCAGACTAGAGCTCAATGGTGGTGGCTTGGTTAGTGCCACCCCTTTGAACTGCCAGGTACAGGCATGTCCTTTGATATGGGAATGAAGCAATCTTAGTGGAAAAATCTCAACAGAAACATTCTCAGTAGGCCTAAACTGCAATTATGTTCAAGGTGCAACATTTTCCCTACAGTTTGACAAGTCTGGTTGGTCCACTACTTACCTCCAAGTCATATGAGAGGCAGGATGGCGTAAGTGAATCCGACCTTGGGCAACTTATACTTTCCTAAGCAAGTTTCTTGGTGCATCCTTTGTAACTCATTACTCTCAGTTTCTCCCGTATCATTATGACCTACTACCCAGGAGGTAGGTCAGCAGTCAGCGCCACGATTCAGAAATTGTAAACAAAAACATAAACATCTTTTGGTTTTGTTTGTTTTATTGAGTCAGGGTTTTACTATGTAGCCCCCCCTGCTCCCCCCCACCCCCCACCCCCGCCTCAGACGACTCAGCCTTTCAAGGTCTGGGATTATGGGTTTGGATCAGCATGTCCATTTTTGTTGTTTTGTTTTGTTTCTTGAGACAGGGCTTCTCTGTGTAACAGCCCTAGCTCTCCTGGAACTCGCTCTGTAGACCAGGCTGGTTTCAAACTCACAGAGATCCGCCTGCCTCTGCCTCCTGAATGCTGGGATCAAAGGCGAGCGCCACCACCGCCCGGCTCTATGTCCATTTATATTGTGTGGGGTGTCTCTCCAGTATATGTCTGTGTGCACATATGTATGCTGTGCAGGTTCACATTGGGCATGCTCTTCAGTAGTCTCTCTAACTATTTCTATCTGTGTGTGTCTCGTCTGTCTTTAGTCCTGCATCTTCTGCTCACCTGCTGGCCTAACGTGGGCATAAGTGTGAAGGTAAGAGGACCAACTGTGTGGGCTCCAGGCTTCACATTCAACTCGAGCTTCCCCCCCCCCCCCCAGCACCACATCTAATTCATTATTTTATGTGAGTGTTTTGTTTACCTGTATAAATGTAAACTCAGAGATCCATCAGCCTCTGCCTCTCGAGTACTGGAATTGAAGACGTTCAACACCACCGGCCCCCTTGGGTTTTGCCTTTTAATTTTATTTTATGTATGGGGTTTTGCCTGTATGTGTGTGTAGCACATGCATGTGTCACCCATGGGTGCCTGACAGGGATGGAAAGGGTGGGTGTTGGGTCCCTGAAACTAAAGTTACAGATGGTTGTAAGCCAGGTCATGTGATCTTCACTGCTGAGCCCATCTCTCCAGCCCTGGCTATTTTAAATTTATTTTGTGTATGCAGGCAAAACACCCATACACATATAAATTTTTACTCTTTTTAAAATGTAAGTGAAACCTTCATACATTGGGAATGTGCATATGAAGCTGATAAATATTCCCTCAGTTATGTGAACCTTCCTAACAAATTAATTAACCTTGGTTCTGGGGGCGTCAGCAGGGCCAGGAAACTTCTGGAACTCTCAGGAGAGAAGCCTTTGTTGGCACTGCCTAGCATCTAGTGCTTCTGCATCTTGTGGCTTGTCACGTCACTCTGTCTTCAAAGCCAGGGTCTTTCATCCCTTCTGATGCCCTTACTCTCTTGTCCCCATCCATTCTCCCCACCTCCTATGTTGTATGAGTTCTCCGGGAGCCACAGAGACAATCCCCACGACTTTGTCCCTTATTTTACCATCTGTGGTGGTGGGGACAAACGCCTTTCATCCATGCACTCAGAAGGCAGAGGCAGGTGGATCTCTGTGTGTGAGTTGAGGCTAGCCTTACCTATAGAAAGAATTTCAGGACAGCCAGGGATACACAGAGAATCTCTGTCTTGAAAAAACAAAACACTATAATAATAACAATAACAATAATAATAATAATAATAATAAACACTTTTGCCAAATAAGGTAACACTGATGGGCCAGAGATTGGGGCAGTCCTGTTTGCAAGGCTGACGGAAAACCTATCGCATTGTTTCCTGAATACCTACTATGTCCCAGTACCACTGTCCTGAACATCAGTGCACGTCAGTGTCCTCATGGTCTTGGTCTCAGGCAATTCTCCCATCTCATTCTCTGAAGTAGCTGGGGGCATAGGCCCACGGCATCCCCATACCCCTGCCACTCTCTTAACTACTTAGGGCATAGAAGAATCTAGAATAAGCTCCCACTTCGGGTCCAGGTCAAGTGTCACAGTCGCAGAGGGTGTCCAAATGTGCACCTCTGTGGGGGACTATGCCTTCATTCTGTCTGCACCAAGGAAGTTCAGGTGATAGGGTACTGTTGGGGGGGGGGTTGTGTTTGCTGGGGAGAGCCTTTCCGAGGTAACATCTGCCCAGACCAGGAGGGGATGGGAGGGAGGGAGGAGGAAGTGCTGTGGATATTAAGGAAGGGCTGATATTAAGTAGGTACAGTCAGTGCAAAAGGCATGTCCCTTTTCCTGCCCCGCCCTCCACGCTGTCCCAGAAGCCTCCAGCATCTTGCTTAGCAGAGAGGGCCAAAAGGCTCAGAAGTGACTGGGGTTTGAGAACTCTAATCATCACGGGTCCCCTATTGCCCATGGCTCCTCTAAGGGCAGGCTAGCCTGTGGGGAGAGATGGGAGGCTGTGTTAGAGGGGCAACAGGTCCCACCCTCCCTTTGACCTGGATCCCGCACAGGTGGTTACCTGGGATGTAGGCTGGGCTTGCTGGTGCAGTGTCCGCCTTCGGTGCCACTGGCGCAGGGAGGCCCGGGCCTCGGAGCTGAGACCCTGGGGTGCACGGCCAGCTTCGGGCTGGTAGTGAGCAATGTGGTAGAGAGCCCCAAACCACGTGGTAAGATAATACCCAGCTGGGGGAAAGAAGGCAAGATCGTCAAGGCCCTCTGAGCTTCCCTGAATGCCCACCTCCCCCTCGGAGGCACAGGAGGTTGGGGTTCATCGAGGGGGCCCCCTTCTCAGTGTCTGGGCATCCCATCCTGGAGATGAGAGCTCACCTTCTCCCCGCAGCTCCTCTGGATCCAAGAGCTCCATAAGAAACTCCACATCCAGCTGAGTCTCCCCTATGTGTGGACTCCAGATCAGCTCCTCCGTCAGGGCTGGCAAAAAGGCGTCAGCCCCTAGGGGCTCTAAGGAAGTTTGCGGACAGGTCGTGAGCTTGGCAGCGGTACACACACGCACCGCACCTTCCTTCCAGTCCTCAGGCCTGAGTGGGCACCTGCCACCTTTCCCTGGGATATGGGCCCCCATTATTAAACCGCTCTGCATCCAGGAGTCCTTTACCTTGATTCTCACCACCGGCCAGGCCCGCGTAGACGTCGCTGCACACCGCCAGCAGCAGCGCCACCTTGCGGCGCGGGGCACACGCGGCGTGTAGGTGCGCGAGGCGCGCGTGGATGCGGCTCCGCAAGGCCAGGGCAGGGCTCTGTCCCTCGGGCCCCGCCCCCGCCCTCAAGGCTATTTGGCGCCTGCGCAGTAACCTCAGTTCCTGGGCTCTGAGAGTTCGGAGTTTGGTCCACAGGGCCGGCTTCAGGGGTTCCAGAACTGCACGACACAGGGCCACTTCCACAGCAGGGCCTGGGGACATGTGGCATGTGAGGACAATGCCATCATGGTGACCCACCCTGATCCCTACTCACCCCATCTCTTGCCCCAGGCTACCTCCAACTGTAGACGGGGAGGGGGGTGCATGGGCAGTGTATGCACACTCCAAGGATGGAAGAGACTAGCCCGGCAATGCACGTGTTAAAGGGAGCTAAGATGCAGGTAGCTATGTGAAGTGAGGGTGTGCTTGCCCATGGGGAGTGAGAAGTTGGATGTGAACGCATACTGGGCCAAGTCATGGCATCCCCCAACCCTGGGGAAGTTTCTCTGTAATTCTCATTACCAAGATCTTCGTCTCCAGGGACCCTAGGTTCCCTGCTCCCAAAGACTGCTCTGACATCGGGGTCCTTTGCCAGGTAATTCTGCAGATCAGTGAGGAGCTGCCGCACGTCCTGAAGTAGCTCGGTGGCCGGATCTCCAGGCCTGTAGGGATTTCCAGAAATTGAGGTGAGGCGAGCCCGAAGGCATCGGTACTGCCTGGCCACATAGCCGCTCCGGGCCCGGGCCAGAGCACGGATGTGGTCAGTGAGCAGGTCCTCGCAGCTTTCCTCTTCATCTTTGTAATTATCATTGTTCACTTCCTCTTTCTCTTCCACCACGCTAACTAGAGCAGACCTAGGCGAGTGCAAGTCTGCTCCAGGATGGTACACTTCCGGTTCAACGTGGTGAGACTCTGGTCCAGGATGATGCACTTCCGGTTTCAGTGGGTCTTCCACCCAGGAGACCCGATGTGGGGTGGGCTGCCTAGGGGCTGGATGTGAGAAGCGGGTTGGGTCTCCTCTATCAGTAGCATCCATTCCCTCATCCCGCGGGGTACCCAGGCCCCGCCCAGCTAACCTAGACTGTATTTCTGGTCAGTCTCTGGCTCTGTTTGCTGTGGAGCCTGCTCTGTCCCCCAGCCTCCATGCGTCTCCAGGTAGAGCTGGTTCACTACAGACAGCACCCTCCCTGAGGTGTTGACCCGGATGCAGCCGAGTCGCAGAGGATCTGAGGGCCGGCAGAACAGACAAGGCATTCCAGGTGTGACGCAGGCCACCAGGGAGTTTCATCCCTAGCCTTCCAGCTGCTATTGCTTCTCCTCCTCTCCTCATTCTTCTTCCTCTTTTTATTTATTTATTTATTTATTTATTTATTTATTGGAGACATGATTTCTCTGTGTAGCCCTGGCTGTTCTGGAACTGGCTCTGTAGACCAGGCTGGCCTCGAACTCACAGAGATTTGCCTCTGCCTCCGGAGTCCTGGGATTAGAGGCGTGCGCCACCACCTCCCGGCCCACCGCAGCTTCTTGTCATACTTTCCCTAAGCCCAGCTTCAGCTTCTCCCAAACCCAGTTATCTGGTCCTCACAGTTCCAGTCTCTCTGGACCAAAGAGACCGGCAAGTTGACCTCTGTCCCCCGGAGCAGCGTGACTCACCTGTGTCCTTGTCCCCAGGACCTACAGTTGGAGTGGGCAAGAGCAGTGTCCTTGGCAAAACGTCCCTGAGGATAAAGGGAACCCTCAGTATGGATGGCGTGTCTCAGGGAAGAGTCCCCATTGCCAGTCTGCCAGGGAAACTGTACCTGCTAGCTGACAGGAAGGCCAGGAGATGGGGACAGTCTGGCATGCAGAGGTTGGAGGCTTCCAAGGACACACCTGGTAAGAGGATGAAAAAAATTGCAGGGTGAACACCGGCCACTTCCGCACCGGCCACTTCCGCACCGGCCACTTTTGTCGTACCCCTGTGGCCCAGGCAACCCTTCCCACCTCCCTGGAAGGGGATCTCTCTACTCCACCCTAAGAGAAGGGAATTCCATCCCTGGGAGTGGATGTTGAAGTCATCCAAAATGTCTTCAGTAGTTTTTGTTTTGTTGGAACAGGTCCCCACTGTAACCTCGGCTGGGCTGGCACTCAGACCAGGTTGGCCTCAAAGCTTGTAAGCAATCTTTCTGCCTAAGGTTGTAGTCCGGAGCCACCACACCAGGCTTACAGTTCTTTGTTCTTGTTGTTTTTGAGACAGGGTCTTGCTATGTAACCCAAGCCAGCTTTGACCTTTATATGGAACCCAGGCTAGACTTCAACTTTATTCTTTAACTTTTTTTCAGACAGGGTTTTTTTGTAGCTTCAGGGCCTGACCTGGAACTCACTCTGTAGACCAGGCTGGCCTTGAACTCACAGAGATCTGCCTGCCTCTGCCTCCTGAGTGCTGGGATTAAAGACCTGTGCCACCACCACCTGGCGTTACATTTTGTTTAAATTGATTTCTCTTTGTGGGTGTTTTCCATACACATGTACTGCATGCCTGCAGTGCCCACAGGGGCCAGAAGAGGGCGCTGGATTCCCTGGGACTGGAGTTGCATGTGGGTTTGAGCCATCTGACTGACAAGAGAGCTGGGAACCCAAATGATGATCTCCAGAAGAGCAGCTGGTCCTCTTTACCGTGAAGCCATCGCTGCAGTTGCAGACCTTGCATTCTTGATTCCTTTCTATGGAGGCTCTCAAGGCTGGAGACCATGTCAACCAACCGCTCAAGGAAGGAGGCTCACGCGCAAAGCACAAGAGCAACACGTGCAGCTGGGTAAGCAGGAGCAGAGAGCCCCATGTGTGAGCAATGAGTGAGGGCCAAAAGCGAGAGAGCAAGCTGAGTCACGCGGAACCGTGGCTCATGATGACCACCTAACTTTGTGTTCGAGGCTGTTTCCAAGCCTCTCCAGGGTTCGGGGAAGGGATACAGTCTATGTGTGAGAACAGCCGTTAGCGATGCTCAGCACGCATCGAAAGGGAAGGGTAGCCGAAACGGCACCAGAGAGGAGGCTACCACAATGATCTTGGCAAGAAGTGATGGGCCAGTTCAGATGCAATACTGCAAATGGTATTGGGGAGAGGGATCAAAGCTGACAGACAGTACTTAATCCATTTGCAGTGTGGACTGGAAACCTAGGACAGGCACCTCACCTCTGGGAAACTTGTGAATTTGATAGGTGTTGACATCGCCTGATGAAGGTCCTGTCTTCAGCATCAGGACCTGGCTGGGATCATGTCCTATGACCAGGAAGCTCTGGAGAGGGGGGAGGGGCAAGGGCAAGAGTCAGCTTGATGCAGGTTTATACGGATGTCCCTTTTTGCCTGCTTGGCACCAGTTCCCTTTAGGGCAGTGGTTCTCAACCTTCCTAACAATGGGACCTTTAATACAGCTCCTCATGTTGTGGTGACCCCAACCATAACATTATTTTTTGTTGCTACCTCATAACTGTAATCTTGCTACCATCATGAATTGTAATGTAAACATCTGATATGTGTCCCTCTGAAGGAGTTGCAACCCACGGGTTGAGAACTCTCTCTACTCCTAGTTCCTGTGGATAGGATCCTAGGTTGTGAGTCCAGGACTAGAACTAGCCAATAGGATGAGCTACTGTCTGACCATGGTTTGGCTCAAGGATGAGCAACCGTTCAAGCCTAACTGCCATGGGATTTTTGCTGGAGATCTTTAATTTTTGTTGTTTATTTATTTGTGGGCCTCTCTCTCTCTCTCTCTCTTTCTGAGCTATATCCCCAGTATTGTTTCTTTTACTGTGTAGCCCTCACATAAAGGCACCTCAAACTCATAATTCCCTCCTTCAGTCTCCTGAATACTGGGGTTACAGGCATAACCCATACACTTAGCTTGAGGGAATTCTTTGGAAAAAGCCAGCCCCATCTTGTGCCTGGGGGTGGATGGGAACTTAAACCTCTGAGTCACATCCCTGGTTCCAAATGTCTCTTACCCAGGCTTCTGAAGCTGGGGGACACAGCGCTGACAATCATCTTTAGCATTCCAAGGACAGTGTCCTCAAGAGGGGCAGCTGTGGTCTGCCAAACCCTATTAGCTGTCCTTTCCAAATTTATCCTACATTCCATGAAGAATTTATTTGTTTATATTTCTCAATGTAGCCCAGGCTGGCTTTGAACTCCTGATCCAGGATGACAGATGAGTACCACCTGGCTCACCCCTATGGAAGGTTTGTTCAAGGCAATGGAAGCAATGGAAATGATTGATATCTGGGATGGTGTGTTCAAGAGTAGCTTGGCTAAATAGTGACATAGAAATACTTGTACTGTATAATTCCCAGCTGATTTTTAAGACTTATTAGTTTATTGTGTATAGAGTGTTATGTGTGCATGTACACCTGCAAGCCAGAAGAGGCCACCAGATTCTACTACAGATGGTTGTGAGCTGCCATGTGGATGCTGGGAATTGAACTCAGGATCTCTGGAAGAGCTGCCAGTTCTCTTAACCTCTGAGCCATCTCTCCAGCCCCCTCCACACAGGTGATCTTTTAGAGCTTGGCTGTCCAGCCCCTGCTGTGTGTTCTGGCTCAGGGCAAAGGCACAAAGGCACCCAGCATCTCCTTTCTTCCTGCTGGGGTGCACATGTCACCCCAGCCGAGACAAGGACAGCTCAGAGAACTGCAGAACAGCCAGCCCTGATGTCACTGGGCTGCTAAACGCCAGCTGCTAGGCCCCTTGCTGTTGGAAAGACAGACACCTGCCTATAGAACAGGCCAGGAGATTAAAATCAGCTGGTAGAGTGCCTGGCTTGAATGCAAGAAGTATTGGGTTAAATTCCCAGCACTGCATATGCTGGGTGTGAACACACACACACACACACACACACACACACACACACACACACACACACGTAATCTTAGTATTCAGGGGATGGGAAGGCAAGAGGATCAGAAATTCAAGGTCAGCCAGTGCTACATAGTGAGTCGGGGGCCAGCCTGGGCAACATAAACCCTTTCCCAGAACAAATTCCTAAGTTTTGGGTTAGCCCAGTTTGCATGTGTTGGTCACCTACCAGACACAAGTTGACACAAGCTGTGAGTACTCACCCCCAGTGGCCACAGCTCAAGAAAGGCCTTGGCATGCTGAGCATCCAGCTCTGGGACCTGCCACACCCTCTGTGTCCTCTGCAGTCGAAGAAGTGGCTCTGGGGTAGTAAGGACCCCTAGTGGGCTCTTGCCGGCTCCATCTGTTAGTGGCCAAGACAGCCTGGGATACAGGTTTCAGGAGGTCAAGGGTCATTGCGGAAGCTGGCCACTGACATGGGGGTACAAGAGACGGGGATAGCCCAGGGACAGGAGATCAAAGATGGAGGGACTGGGGTTGGGGAGAGGGGAGTGTCATTGGGTCTCACCTGTCCCCCTCAGTAGGGGCTGCAGACACCATGTCCTCCCGCTGGGCAAGCCTCATGCTGCCAGGCAACAGTGAGCCATGCTCTGGCCTCTGGCATGGATGCAGACGAGACTCAAAGCGGCTCCAGCTCCAGCTAGGGCAAGGGCTAACATTTTAATTGTTGCATCTGGCTCAGAGATCTTGCCTGATCAGAATGGACCTCAGAAGTCCCAGGTTCACCAAGAGCCATCCTTTTTTTTTTTTTGTTTGTTTGTGTTTTGGTTTTTGTTTGTTTGTTTTCAAGACAGGATTTCCTTGTGTTCTTTGTGTATCCTTGGCTGTCCTAGAAGTAGCTCTGTAGATCAGGCTGGCCTCAAACTCAGAGATCTGCCTGCCTCTGCCTCCCCAATGCTGGGATTAAGGGGGTGCAACATCACTAACCAGGGAGCCATTCTCTTTCATTTTCTTTTCCTTTCTTTTTCTTTTCTCTCATTTGGTAGAGCATGAGACTCTTAATCTCAGGGTTGTGGGTTTGTGCCCCATGTTGGGCGCCAATTGGAGGTGGGCAATTTATTATGAGTTCCCTAGACCCAAGATAAATGATAAATGGGCGCTTTATTGGGGAACAGCTTACACAGATAATAGTAAAGAACCGCCGTGGCCTTTCTCTGCCCTTCTGATCTGATCCATGGTGGGGTTGGGGGGGGAGGGACAGAGAGAGAGAGAGAGAGAGAGAATATGAAAGTACTGGCTGCTGTTCTTGAGGTCTTGAGTTCAATTCCCAGCAACCACATGATGGCTCACAACCATCCACAATGAGATCTGGTGCCCTCTTCTGGCCTACAGGGATTCATGCAGACAGAACACTGTATAACTAAATAAACGAATCTTAAAAAAAAAACAAAGAATGAGCCCCCATCTTACACTTTTCTTTCTGCTTCTGTCAGCACCTGAAGCCACGCCCAAAGGGGTGTGACCACTAACAGAGATACACTGGCAAGGTGAAATGCCTCTCTCTCTCTCTCTCTCTCTCTCTCTCTCTCTCCCCCTCTCTCTCTCTCTCTCTCTCCCCCTTCCTTCCTTTTCTTTTTCTGTTTTTGAGACAGCCCAGACTAGTTTGGACCTCTCTGTAGTCCACACTGACTCCAAACTCATGGTAATCCTTCAAACTCTCCCGTGCTGAGATTATAGGCATGAGCCACTATGCCTGACTGGGGTGGCCATGCAAGTCTTTAGTTGCCAAGTGGCAGGCAACTCTGGAGACCCCAGGAGAAAGGCCCATGTATCTTGGGGTGGGGGTTACGAAGGGGTTACTCCAAGATCTTCACGTAGGTAATTGCAACCATAGTGTGTGTGCCAGCTGCGTGACGGCCATGGTTAAAACCAGAAGTTCTTGGCTAACAATAGAGTTCTCTATCCAGATACAATGCGCCACCCACGTCTTCCTTTCCTAGACTTCAGAGGAGCCCTAGCACACCCTCCCCCACATTTGATTTTGTTGTTTTTCTTTTTTGGAGACAGGGTTTCACTATGTAGTCCTGGCTGTTCCAGAACTCTCTATGTAAACCAGGCTGGCCTCAGACTCTTAGAGATCCACCTCCCTCTGCCTCCCAAGTGCTGAGATTAAATGCATGCACCATAATATCCAGCCTTGATTTAAATTTTTTTTAAAAAATTCTAAACATAGCTGGGCATTGGTGGCACATGCCTTCAATCTCAGCACTAGGGAAGCAGAGGAAGGAGGATCTCTGAGTTCAAGACCAGCCTGGTCTACAGAGCAAATTAGTTCCAGGACAGGCTAAAAGCAATACAGAGAAACCCTGTCTCGAAAAACCCAAAAAACAAAATAAAACAAAAATTCTAAACATATAGAAAAGTTGAAAGAATATTCTAGAGCCTGCCATATGCCCAATATCTGGATTCTCCTGTGAAAATCTTGCTCTTACTCATCTCACAGCTGAGCCATCCATTTATCTGTCAAACCTTGATTTTTTGTTTTTCAAGACAATTTCTCTGTGTAGCCCTGGATGTTCTAGAATTCATTCTGTAGCCCAGGCTGGCCTGGAACTCACAGAGATCCACCTGCCTCTGCCCCCAGAGTGCTGGGATTAAAGGTGTGAGCCACTATTACCTGGTCCAACCTTATTTTTTTTTTTTTCTTTTTGAGGCAGGGCCCCTTGTGGCCCAGGCTTGCCCCATATTTGCTGTGTATTGTATGTAGCAGAGGCTAGCCTCATGCTCCTGACCTTCCACTCCCCATGTTCTGGGATCATAAGCATGGGCCAACATGTCCACTATGCCCTGTCTTCTTCACCACGGGAGCCTTATCAGGGTTCTCAACTCAGGGTGAGCCCTTTTGGATATTCCCCCCAACAGCAGTCTCAGGAGCAGGGAATGTGGGTCTGGGGAGAGACCATTCATCCATCTGTCTTTCCATCATTTATCCATCCCCACCACGCCCTCATCTGTTCACATGAATTATTCAGCATAGGCCCAGCATTAGGTGACTGGCCTGGGAGGAGGGCGGATAAGCGGGGCCAGCCCTTTCCAGAAGGTTTCCAAAAGGTTAGGGTGTTGTGTGCAAGCCAGATAACTAATGGCAATATAAATCAATTAGCTGCTCACTGGCTCTTCAGGTTCAGGGGGTCAGGGGGCAGACACATGTCCAGGAGAAGCAGGGAAGAGGGGTGGAGAGGGGAACTTCCCCTCCAGGACCCTTGGGAGACCCAGGCATGGGTGGGGCTGGGGCAGGGTTGGATGGAGGCTGCTGTGGGTGCAGAAGCCAGATGCTGGGTCCCTGGGGGCCCTACCTGTTCCGAGGGGAGCCTGAGCAGGAAGCGAAAGTGTTTCTAGAGAGGAAGCCAGCACGCAGGGGCAGGGGAAGAGGCGGAGCTGGGGGGCATCTGATATCACCTTCCTCTCCCTTTCCGGGGATCAGCTGAAGGGCTCCCCTTTTGGAGGCGTGGACCTCTGGCAGGCCAAGAGCCCATGTGAAAAGTCACCAGATAACCCTCCCCCCCACCCCCCCATCACTCTTGAGATCCTGGAGCCAAAGATGGAGTCTTTATACCCCTCCCCAGATGCTGCAGACACCACTAAAAGAAGCGGAGACCACACAGCTCATGGTTAGTTGCGTTGTTTTGGTTTTTAATCTGTTTCCAATAAACAAGGTCTCCTGCTCATCCCCACTGGCTGGCAAGTGGGTCCCTAGGAAAGGGAGGCCAGCACCCACTTTGTCTGTTGGAGGCAGAGAGTTGGGAGCCTTCAGGCTGGGGACCCCCTGGGTGAAGTTCTATTTCACCATGGAAGTTCAGCCCCCACGTGGGCCAGGTTAATTGGTTTCGCCACAGACCCCCTGAGAACGATGGAGAAATGCCTTGTTCTGGCAGTTAGGAGCAGTTAGAAGTTAGGGGAGGCTGCATCTTGCCTTGGGTGGTTAGAGGCTATGGCTGTTAACAGATGGGCTGTGAAGGCCTCAGCCCTCAGTATATTAGAACTTTCTGAGACTGAGTTGGGGGACCCTGGTTTCAAGAAAGCAGTTAAGAGAATGAAGGATCTACTGCGTCCCGGTGCTGGCTGGGGCTCCGCTGCCCCGCTGCCCCGCTGCCCCGCTGCCCTGCTCGGGAGGTGGCGGTCACTGTCACTGCTGCCCCTCTCGCTCTTTGGTCCTGGCCGCCTCCTTGGCGGGAGGTGGGGACTTCTTCGGGGAAGTGGTAGTGCTGGGGTTGGGGGCCTGTGACCCTGACTGGGCATCTATGCTGGCATGCTCCCTCCGGACAAGGCCTTCCAGCTCCTTCTGCAGGGGGCAAAGGTCACAGAAGTCAGAGGTTACCATAGATCCTCATGGGGCTGGGCTCAGCATGGGCTGGGGTGGCCCAGCTCCTCACCTTCCATCCGAGGAGCTCAGCCAGGGCCAGGCAGCCTTGGTCACAGTCACCTAGCCAGGCCACATCCCTGCAGAGTGAGCAGCAGTTAGAGAATGGGCTGAGGCCTGGTTGGTCTTCTGTCTTCTCTCCCGCCTCAGCCTGCCCTTCCCAAGCTTTCCACCCCCCCCCCCCCAGGCCCAGAACTTACCTGTAAGCCTTCTTGGAGTCAAAATCCATACCGCCGCCCAAGCCCATCATCATGCCTAGAAAGGGGTCTGTCTGTGGGGAGAGGACAGCTAAGAGCAAGGTCCCTGCAGCCACCAGACCTGGCTTACGTTCTATTGAGACCGGGTTCTCTGTGTAGCCCTGATTGTCCTGGAACTCGCTCTGCAGACCTGGCTGGCTTCGAACTCACAGAGACCCGCCTGCCTCTGCCTCCTGAGTGCTGAGAGTAAAGGTGTGCGCCACCGCCGCCCTGGCTTAGTTTTATTTCTTAAGTGCATGTAGTATGCGTGTGTCTCTGTTTGTGTGTGGGTGGTCAAAGAGGACAGAAGAGGGCATTAGGAGCCGTAGCTACAGGCCGTTGTGACCTCCTGACCTGGGTGCTGGGAACTACACCTGGGTCTCTGGGAGAACAGAAAGTGTTCCTAACCACTGAGCCATCTCTCCAGTCCAAAAACATTATTATCTTTTTTTTTTTTTTTTTTTTTTTTTTTTTTTTTTCTGGCAGTGCAGAGACTTGAACCCAGGCAGGGCTCTGTGTATGACAGGCAAACAGTCTGCCACTGAACTATATCCCCAGCCCAAACATACTCTTTTTGAGACAAGATTTCTCCATAGGCCTGGAACTTGCAATTTGTAAGACTGGCTGTCTAGTGAGCCCCAGGGATCCACCGATCTGCCTCTCCACTATGGGACTGCAAACACACGCCAACATGCCTTCTTGTGTGATTTCATGTGTTCTTATGTCCCCTGTGTTTCCTGTCATAGACATTTAGTCAGAATCTTTGTTGGAGGGTGCTGTCCATCCACCAGACACATCCCCTCTGGTCACCCATCTTTTTGTATTGTCAGCAGTCGCTGGTTGAGATAGGTCATGGTGATATTTAAATTTCTAAACATTTGCCGGGCGTTGGTGGCACACACCTTTAATCCCAGCACTCAAGTGGCAGAGGCAGGGGGATCTCTGTGTTTGAGGCCAGCCTGTTGTACAGAGGGAGTTCCCAACACACAGAAACCCTGTCTTGAAAGAAAAAAAAACAAAGCCATGTGGTGGTGGCCCACACCTTTAATCTCAGAACTCAGGTGAGCACTCAGCACTCAGCCTGAGGTGGGAGGTAGAGGCAGATGGATCTCTGTGAGTTCGAGGCCAGCCTGGTCTACAGAGTGAGTTCCAGAATAGCCAGGGGTACACAGAGAAACCCATCTTGAAAAAAAAAAAAAAACAAAAACAAAAACAAAAATAACAAAAAGCTCCCCGGAAATAAATAACATAGCCAGGTGCTAGCCCCTGGAAGGCAGAGGGGTTGTCCACGGCCATCTGTAATTACATGGTGAGTTTGAGAGGACAGGCTGCAGGAGAGCCCGTCTCAACAACTAGCTCTACAGCTCACAACTGTATCATGCCACAAGTCAGGTAGACATCGCTTAGCATATCCAGGAGGATGTGTGGGCTCCATACAAACGTTTGGCCACTGTGTTGGAGGGAGAGCCCTGAGAGCCCCCAGATTTTGATACGTGAGATGGTACTAGAATGCTAATGCCTGGCACACTGTGGCACATGCAGTGACTGCTGTGTCCCCTGGCACCTGTCCACAGGCGGGCAACATCCCTCCCTGCTGCGTACTCTCTAGCCCAGCGTGACACAGAGGCCTGTAGGGTCAGGTTGGCCCCGACCCCGCACCCGAGTCCCGGACTCCCATATTCTCCAGCCTGAATGGCAAGTCTAAAGCACTGATGCTCTCTAGTCAGGACACGCTGAGACCTGTCTCGTCCTCCTGAGGAAGGGGAAGGGGGTGAAACAGCCCCCAGTGAGCAGAGGGAGAGGGAGCGGGAGCGGGAGGCAGACTCACCTGGCCCGTCTTCTCCTTGTTGATGAGCAGGCGTGGGGTAGAGAGTGGTGCCCTGGGAATGGGGAGCTGGGATTCAGGGTCTGCCCTGGTGCCCTGTCCCCAGCTGACCCGCAGCCCTACCCCCTCAACCTACTTGCTAATGAGGGAGGCGAAGGGCTGCACCTGCAGGGAGGTGCCCATGATGATGAGGAGGTCCACCTTGGAGAAGTCCTGCAGGGAGCAGCCAGTAAGGACATGGCCCCCACTGCTCTGACTTGGGGCCCTGCCTCCCCTCCAGCCCCACAGCCCACGTCAACCAAGCAAGCCCAGGGTGGACACTTACTGACTGCATGCAAGAGAAGAATCTCGGAGGAAGATTCTCACCAAAAAACACGATGTCTAAGGTGGAAACAAAGGGGCACAGGGACAGGGGAGGAGGCACAGCAGAAAGGGCTAGAACAGGCAGGGTCGGGGCCACCTGAGGCCTGAGGGAGGGGTAGGGGGGATGGGGGTGGACAGATACCCGCCCTCTGCAGGACAGCAGGGGATGGGGGTGGACAGATACCCGCCCTCTGCAGGACAGCAGGGGATGGGGGTGGACAGATACCGCCCTCTGCAGGACAGCAGGGGATGGGGGTGGACAGATACCGCCCTCTGCAGGACAGCAGGGGATGGGCCAGGACAGATACCGCCCTCTGCAGGACAGCAGGGGATGGGGGTGGACAGATACCGCCCTCTGCAGGACAGCAGGGGATGGGGGTGGACAGATACCGCCCTCTGCAGGACAGCAGGGGACGGGGTGGACAGATACCGCCCTCTGCAGGACAGCAGGGGATGGGCCAGGACAGATACCGCCCTCTGCAGGACAGCAGGGGATGGGCCAGGACAGATACCGCCCTCTGCAGGACAGCAGGGGATGGGGGTGGACAGATACCGCCCTCTGCAGGACAGCAGGGGATGGGCCAGGACAGATACCGCCCTCTGCAGGACAGCAGGGGATGGGGGTGGACAGATACCGCCCTCTGCAGGACAGCAGGGGACGGGCCAGGCAGCAGAGGTGGAGTGAGGGCAACAGTAGGGAGGAGGGGCCCCAGTTCCTGTCCCCCCCTCCCCACCCCACCCCCCGCCCGCCCTGAGGCTTACCAGGTTTTACCACGCTCTGGCATTTCTCACACTTGGGGGTTGCTTCTGAGAAGATCTTCTCTGGGTGGGAAAGGGGGGGAACGAGAGGTGTGAGGCCTCCCCAGGCCGGAGTAGTCCTCCTCTGTCCTCCCCTACTGCCGACATGAACGCATCCCAGGCGGGTGACAGTGGCACATGCCCCTAAACCTGCTTTTGGGAGGGTTCAGGAGGGGGACTGAATTCATGGCCAGCCTTGGCTACGCAGCAAGACCATGTCTGAAAAACCCGGAGCTGGGAGAGGGAAGCGGCTCTGTGTAAAGTTATTTGCTGCCGAAAGCCTGATGACCCAAGTTCCATCCCAGGAACCCACATACTAAAAGCAGAGAAACAACTTCTGCAGATTGTCCTCTGACAGCCACAGGCAAGCCGCGGCATGTGTATATCCATACACACATATACATGCAAGCACATAAAGAAATAAATGTGAAAAATACTTAAAAACAAAAAACAAGTGCTAAGGTTGTAGCTCAATGGTAGAACATTATGGGACTTGGGACATGATTCATCAGTACAGCCCCTGCCTAGAATCCCCCAGGGAGGAGCTGAGGGTGTGGCTCATGGTGGAGCCCAGCAGCACAAAACAAGCAGCACTCTCTACCACTAAGGGACCTCCTGGAGTGTCTGTCCTTCGGGCTTATTAGAAGAGCTCCCTTCTTAGAGAGCCTTCCTCTTCACCTCCAGGCACGCAGGATTGGCTCCAAGCACCACTGCCTACAGCTAGTGAACCAGAGAGATGATACGCACAGGAATAAACCCACCTCCCCCTGAAGGCACCCCTGAACTCCACAGGACCCCCATCCTGGGAACGGGCCTTGGGGACAGTCCCATTTGTCCCGGGTCAGGAAAGGACATACAGATAATCTTGGGATGGAGCCAGCCTCAAGTCCATGTGCCTCCCTGACTTGGACTCCGTGACAGGCTCCTCCAACACTACCCTGTTGACAGTCACACTCCTTATGCTTGTGGGGGCAGGGAGCGTGAAAACACATCTGTCACTTGCAGCCCACAGAGCTGGAACCCAGTCCCTCAGCTACTCCTCTCTCCGTTCACAGTGTGGCTTTAGCCACCGCCGCTCGGGGCATTTCTACACAAACAACACGCTGTTCTGTGGGTGGGGGACACCACTGCACAGGGCCAGAAAGGGGGTGATGTCCATTGTCCATCACCCCCAGCTGTGCACACTTGGGCTACTCAGGAACCCTCAGGCTCGGAGCAGCTGGCTGGCACTGTGTCAGAAAGGCCACCTTCCACGGTCCTGCCACAAAGGCCACAGCTATCCTGACCTCAAGGGGACACCAGGGGCCTTGTGAAGTCAGCATAAAAAATACAGCCTGCCAGAGTGATAGACTCAGCACAATGGCTGCCAGAAACTGGCTGGGGCTGGCACTGAGGGCGTGGGGACTGGCTGTTTCCCTCAGATGCTCCGTCCGTACATGAATGGGGACAGTGACAGTAGGAACCATAGTGAGCCCTGTCATGTGTGCTCCTAGAATCTCTCACCAGTGCGGCACCTGGATCGCCTCTCTACAAATTCCTCTGCACTGTCTAAAGTGAAGTCCGAGCCTTACAAGATTTAGTGTTAGCTTTTATTTTTATGTTTTGTTATGTAACCTCGCATGGCCAAGGCTAGCCCTGAAATCCCGATCCTCCTGCTTCTATCTCCCAAGTAACAGATAAAAGGCACATATCGTGGCTTCTAATGTGACTTCTCCAGTTTAAATCAACAAAAATTGGATAAAATTAGAGAGCCTGTCCTAAAGAAAACTGAAAATGTTCTGAACCAGCAAGGTGGTTCGGAAGGTAAGCGTGCCATCTTCAGCCTGACAGCTTGAGTTCAGTTGCTGGGACCCGTATGGTGGAGTCGAGAATTGATTCTTTGGTTTACTAGGCTGGTTTCTAGTGCTCAGTTTGAGTGTATGTGGCTGGCCTTGCTCTGTAGTTCTAATGTATGACAGCCTGGCAGGGCGTGGCAAGGGACAAGACTTGATGCCACCTTGACCCCTTGGGGCTTCTACGCTACTATAAAGAGAGCCGAGTGTGATGGCGTGCGCCTGCTGTCTCAGCACTCGGGAGACTGAGGCACAAGTGCAAACTCAAGGCTAGCCTGGGCTACATGGGGAAACCTGGTAAGAGCTAAAGAACTAAACAGGTGCCAAACCACTTGGAGGCCTGCATGGCACGGGCAAGGAGTGGGAGGCGTGGCCTCATCAGTGGTACCCAGCCTCACCTTTCATCCAGCTCAGCGTGTACTCTTGTCGGCAGCTGGAGCTGACACAGTGTGACGTGTAGAAGGTGCCGTGGGCCTCCACCAGGTCCTGGGGCTCCAGCCCGGCCACTCGCTCCAGGGTGTCTATGTTCTGCATGGGGAGACAGACGCAAGGTCAGGAAGACAACCAGCCCTCACGGGCTCTGAGAATTGGGACTGCAGGGGACAAGGGAGGGACGGTGAGTAAGGAGTATGTGGCAAGTGTCCACTCTCCCAGTGGGGCCACTGAGGGGTTAACAGTCAGGGCTGCTTAAAGGCAGCCCAGGCTCAAATGTCTCTAAGACCAGGCCCACTGCCACCATCAGCTCATGTGACATTCTTCTGAGCGCTTGGGTCATCGCTTCTGTTGTTCAGAGAAGTCCTTTTGTTAGAGAGCCACACTTGCCCGCTATTTGACACAAACTTATTACAGTAACTATACTTGTGTGTGTGTGTATGGGGGGGGCGGACGACAACCTGCACAGCTTGTATGGGACAGCTCTGGCCAAGCATTAATATAATAAATGAATCAAGCCAGGAGTGAAGGTGGCTGCTTGTAACCCCTGCACTTGGAGACTGAGGCAGGAGGACTACTGTAAGTGTAAAGTCAGCTTAGGCTACACAGCTGGTGTCAGGCCAGCCAGGGCTACCCTGTCTCAAAAACTGAAAAAATGGCCAGGTGTGATGGCACACATCGTTCAGGAGTTCGAGACCAGCCTGGTCTACAGAGTGAGTTCCAGGGCAGCCAGGGTTGCTGCACAGAGAAACCCTTGTCTTGAAAAAGACAAACCAAAACCTGAAATAAATAAAGCCAGGCATGGTGGATCATGCCTATAATCTAGATTACTACAAGTTTGAGGCTAACCCACGTGACACAGTAAGTTCCAGGCCAGCGTGGGGGACAAGAGTCTTGAAAAACAATGATAGAAGGCTGACTAGATAGGTCATCAGGTAATGGCACTAGCCAACAACCTGATTTTGATCCCTGGAAACCACATGGAAGAAGAAAACTTTGCCCCCAAATTGTCCTCTGAACTCTACATACCCACTAAATAAATGTCATAAATTTTTAAATGAATAAAACAGAAGGGCTTGTTTCTCTCTTTGGGGGGAGCTTTGTTGGTTGGAGACTTGAGAACCTCCCTTTAGAGTTTGGGGGTTGCAAGGATGCATTGCCTCACCCTGGACTCACAGATCCTGTATCAGTTTTGTAACTAACGCAGTCTGCCAAGCCCTCACTGAAAAGTGGCAGTACACATGCAAATGACTAAATACAGGCCCACAGAACTACCACAGGCCCACGTATCCACGGGAAACATGGTTCAGGATCACAGGAGATGCCTGGGATGGAATCTCAGACTGGGTTGGATCCTATCCATACAGATGGCTATGTCCCCGTTGTGGGTTGCAAAGGCCTCTGATGCATCTACCCTAGTATACATCACAGCCGAGGCCCCGGGTAAGTGTGCACGGTTACATCACAGCCGAGGCCCCGGGTAAGTGTGCACGGTTACATCACAGCCGAGGCCCCGGGTAAGTGTGCACGGTTACATCACAGCCGAGGCCCCGGGTAATTGTGCACAATTTCCCCTCCTGATGATGTGGTAGGCTGCTGCCTCTGCCCCACACCAGCAGAGCAAAGCTGGGCCTGTGCAAGTCTGATCTCAGGGAGGGGCTGGGGGTGTGGCTCAGTGGTAGAGCACTTCCCCAGCATGCAGGAAGCCTGGTGGCTATCTATCACAGCACACCCTGCCCCCACGGGGGAAAAGAAAAAAGAAGGATGATTTTCAGTTTTTAAAAACCACAGTGCTGCTGTGTAGTGGGTATGGAAGGGTCCCCAGACAAGGGGCTGAGTGGGAAAAGAAGCCTATAGAGAACCTTCTGTGGGTTTGTGAATTCCATATATACAGTTTGAAAGATCTGCAGCCATTCTTCTGTGGGGACTACAGTGGCTTGAGTGATCATGGCAACTGTGTGAATGGGTTCCTGTGTCCTGAGCGCAACACAGCTAAAGATGCTGTGTCAGCACAAATCAGAAGCCAAGTCGTGTGTTCCAGAAAGCAGGTCAGTGACTCAAACAGTGCCTGAGGAGAAGAGGGCAAAGTGCCTGTGTGTGTGTGTGTGTGTGGGGAATTGGTCACAAAGTAGGCAAGCGGAACATTTTTTTCCACCTTTAGATATCTTAGGTAAGTCTCTCAGAAACGAATGTGTGGGGGCTGGGGTAGAGTGCCTGGCTATTCTCACAGAAGACCCAGGGTTAGGTCCTAGCTCTCCTGGCCCCTGTGGACACTGCATGCACATGGTACACAGACAAACATGCAGGTAAAACAAACCCCTCTTAAAAGTGTGGGGCCAGTGAGATGGCTAAGCAGATAAAGCTGCTTGCCACCAAGCCTGACCTCCGAGTTCCATCCCTGGAACCCATGTAACAAACAGAAGGAAGAGACTTGACTCCTGCAAGTTGCCCTGGGACCTCCAAACTTTTGATGTGGCATGCCTGCACGTATGTATGCATACTTGCAAACATACACACACACCAACTAAAATAAAGCTTAAAAATACTGCAGACAGCTGTCCTGCCAGATATCTGCATACGCCACACTGAACATCGCCAGCAGTCGTGAGGGCTGTTGGCAGCTCTCCCTCGCAGCTGGCTTTGCTTGAGGCCTCAGATTTCCACTGCCTGCTTCTCCGGCCATCGCCTTTCTGCTGAGCCCAGGTTCCATGTCCAGCTGGCCCCACCCTCTATGTAGCTATGTCCCAAGGTCTCAAGGCAGAATGCCATCTCTCCGACACCTTCCCTTCCAACAGTCCCAGAAAGCGTAGCAGGTACCTAGCTAAGGGACAGCCCACCATCCAGGCTTCATCTTCCAAGGACACGTCTGACCTGGTGTTCTTCCTCAGTGGCCCTTAGTGAAGGTCCTGTCCTCCATCCACTTTGGCTGGACAGACAGAGCAGCTTCCCACCTGCTCTCTGTGGCTCCTAGGCCCCTGCCCCGCCCCCCACAACCACAGTGAGCCTCTGCCTGAAGGTTCTTTCCCTCCCCTGTGCACTCCAGCATCCACTCACACAGACCTGACTTGCTCCTGTGTGTCTGTTCAGAGGCTTGGTGCCATCTGACAGACTAGGCCTGCGATTCAATCCCTCTTGTCCTTGTCACACATATGAGACTATCAGCACCAGTGTGCTTTGCTTACTCTGGCAGTGCCCAGCACTGGGTGGACATCTGTTGGCATAGAAGCTAGCAACCAAGGTGCCGGAGGCACACACAGTGGTATGCAGGAAGTGTGGGGCACCAAGGGGGCTGTGAGCATCAGGCCTGAGCCTAGTTCTGTGGACGAGGTTGACTCTCTGAGTTGGGAGTGTCCTGAACTTGAGCAGCGCCTAAAGGACTGAGATGTCCCTTCCCCAATCAGGGCCTCCAGCCAGCTGGCTCCAAAAGGATTCATCCTCCCCCTGGTGGCCGTTTCTGACACTGCACATGCCACATCGAGTTGCCAGAAGAAAGTAATACCTATTTGTATTCAAGCGTTATCTCTTCCCTAGGATTTGGAGTTCTGATTTTCCTTTTTAATTTTTTTTTTTTGGGGGGGGTGGAACATGGTGTAGCTATGAAGCCAGTCTGGGCTTGGATTCGCTATGTGGCCCAGGTTGGATTTGAACTCATGATGCTAGGACTATAGGTTTGTGTGCTAACATGCTCGGCCAGTTTGTGTTCTGAGGTGTAATTTATAGCACACATGTACACTGCTGTAGAGCAATCTGAACTTCTGGCTGCTAATCCAGAAGCCAGCACCTTAAACACCCTCCGAAGACTCCGGAGTGGCCACAGTGCCCTGTTAGCCACTGTATCTAGGCCAGGCGCAGAACTGTACAAGTCTAAGAAGCACTCCTTTATGATACAGCGTCACCTGATATAAAACTGTCCCCTTCCCATATTTGGGATGGCTGTGGTATGGATGGCGTCCCCTCAGATAGAGTCCTTTTGCAGTATGCGTGGGATGACCTTATGGGAGCACATTGTCACCCCACAACCGACTTGAGAGGGTCCTGAAGCTGCTTTGGCTCTTTTTATTTAAGAATTCTAAATGCATTAGTTTATAGTGTAATAAATTAATTGACTAATCAATCAATTTAGAGACAAGGTCTCACATCCTGAAGGCTGGTCTCAAACTCCCTTCGTAGCCAAGGACGATCTTGAATTGCTACTCCTCCCGGTCTCTGCTCCCTTAGGGTTACCCAGTTTCTGCCCCTATTTCTATAAAGGGGAACCTGAGGTTGAGAGGAAACGGCTCACTGCAAGTTACCCACTACAGTTAGCTGAGCCCTGGTCACTGCCCAGTGCCTGCCTGTGTCACCTCCAGCTCTGACCGCCCACCAGCTCCGCCCCGCCCCCGTTCCGCCCCGCCCCGCCCCCGTTCCGCCCCGCCCCGCCCCGCCCCGCCCCCGTTCCGCCCCGCCCCGCCCCGCCCCGCCCCGCCCCGCCCCGCCCCGCCCCGCCTACCTGTGTGTAGCACCTCAACAGCAACCCTTTCTCCTTCAGCAGGCGGATGAAGTAGTGGCAGATGGTTGGCTATGAGGAAAATAACAACGCTGATGGAAATGCCCACAGGCCATCCCTGTGGGCTGGGATGACGCCAGTCACGTGCTCATTCTGTCCCATGGCCCCGTCACAGCTGCCCAGTGACAGTGAGCATGGCATTCTCCCATACCACAGATGAGGAGACCCAGGCAAGGGCGTGATGGTGGCTTGTTGGCTTCACCAATCGGTTCATTGCAGAGTTAGGTTCACAGCCAGGCTCCTACCTCAGCCCTTTCTGAGACCTGAGCAGCTCTGTCTTACAGTTGGGAACACTGAGGCTGGGAGCGTAAGGCCAGGAGGGAGGCCAGGCCGCCAGACCTGCAACCACAACCCATTCCTCTTCCTGTTTCACTTTCTTAAAACTTTATTTGGATTTTGGCTTTTGTTGTTTGGTCTTTCCAGACAGTTTTTTTGCCTAGTTTTTAAAATTTATTTACTGTATAGGCTTGGCTGTCCTGGAACAAGCTCAGTAGACTATGTTGGCCTCAAACTCACGGAGACCCTGACTCTGCCTCCTGAGTGCTGGGATTAAAGGCATGCGCCACCACTGACTGGCTGTGGGGATTTTTTAAATGACTTATTTCCCTTATGTGCACTGATTGGTGTTTTGCTTACATTCGTATCTGTTTGAAGGTGTTGGATTTTCTGGGACCAGAGTTACAGACAGCTGTAAGTTGGTATGTGGGTGCTGGGAACTGACCCGGGGTCCTCAGGAACAGCAGCCAGAGCTCTTATCTGATGAGCTACTGCTCCAGCCCACCAAGTGCTTGGAATAAGGGTGCGCGTCACCACGCCGGGCCTTCCGTTCTTTTAAAAAATGTTCTATTATTTTTCATTACGTGTATGTGTGTGGCTCTGTGTGTGTACATGCATGTGACACCATAGTAACCAGTGCCCACCAAGGCCAGAGGGATCAGACCCCTGGGGCCGAAGTTACAGGTGTCTGTGAGCACCTGAAAGGGTGCTGGGAACTGAACTTTGTTCTCTACAAGAGCTCTGCATGCTCTTAAACACTCCTCTCCGCCTCGTCCACCTTCTGAGCTTTTAATCTTTTTTCTTTTGAGACACGGTCTATGTGGTACCTATTGACCTTGCATATGAAAATCTCCTGTCTCTGCCCCTCAAATGCTATAATTATTGGCATGCACTATCACATCTGGCCAGAACTTATGCTTTTTTTCTCCCTTAAAACAGTATTTATTTACATATCCATGGGGGGGGGGTTCACTTGCTACACTGCGTATGTGGCAGGCAGAGAATAGTGTGTGGGAGCCAGTTCTCTCCTTCAGTCATGTGGCTTCCAGGGATTGAACTCAGGCCATCAGGTTTGGTGGCAAGCCCCTTCACCCACTGAACCATCTTGCTGGTCCCAGAGCCTTGATTCTGAGTAATTATGTACGGATTGTCTGAAGGGCCTGTAAGGAGCCTACTCCCATGTCTGTCCCTCCCAATCTCCCCTGCAGAAAAAGGCCTCACCTTGAACTGCCCAGGATAGAGCTCCTTGGCAAGAGCAAAGAAGGGCTCTGGATGTTTCTGTAGGAGGGAGACACAGAAGGCACGGGCCAGTTAAGCTAGGGCCTGGAGCTGGGCACTTCCTTTCCCTTCTGCCCTCATCTCAGAAGCTTGTACCTTGAAGTAACTAATCTCGAAGATGGCTTCCGGGTAAGGGAGGCGGTACTTCTCCAGGTTTGCATAGAGGCCAGTGGATGGTGAGCGGAAGTCAGGGATACCGGCAGCTAGGAAGGAGTACTCGTCAGAGGTTTTAGCCTCGGATATGCATGAACCCTCCCAGGGCCCCCACACCCGCAAGAGTGACTTGAAGGAGGGGACACTTACATGTGGAGATTCCGGCTCCCACTAAACAGATGACCCTGCGACCTGAAGGAGAGAGTTCATATTATGTGATAGAGTTTAGCACAGTTCTGGCAAGCCCACATCACAGGTGGGCGAGGTCTTCTTGGGGACAAAGCTGCAGGGCCAGCTCAGTAGTGCAGAGCTAGCTAGTTTGAGGGCTTGAGTTTCAGCCCTGGAACCTTGAAAGTCAACCCAAACCAAGTTCTGCTAACAGCTTATCTTCTGGATACAATGTTGTATGACTTTAAAGAATTATTTTAAATTCATTTTCTTTTTTGAGACAAAGTCTCACTATGTAGCCCTGACTGGCCTGGCACTGGCTAGGTAGACCAGGGTGGCTTTGAATTTACAGAGATTTGTCTGCCTCTGCCTCGCAAATGCTGACATTAAAACTGTGTGCAGTTATAGCTAGCTTTAAATCTCTGTCTCTGTCTCTCTCCTGAGATAAGGAGCCAGCATGTGGGTGCACACTTGCAATCCCAGCACTGGAGAGGCAGGGGCAGGCAGATCACCACGAGGGAGCCTGGTTTTCACAGTGAGTTCCAGCAAGCCAATGTAAGGAAGTGAGACCCTGTCTCAAAAAACCAAGACAACAGAAAGATGAGGGTTGGGTAGAAGGCTCAGGGTTAGGAGCCCTTGCTGCTTTTCCAGGGGACCTGTGCGCAGCACCCACATCAGGCGGGTCACAGCCATGACAGTGTGCAGCCACCTGTTACCGCCAGCTCCATGGGATCCCATGCCTCTGGCCTTTGAGGGTACCCGTGTGCTCGTGGGTGTTGGGTTAGGGTGTGCACCAGGCAGCATGCCTGCTGTTATTGTCTTTGGTTTTGAGACACTGTCTCCCTGTGTAGTGTAGGATGGCAGAGAACCCTGAGCCTCCTGCTTCAGTCTCTCAGTGCTGGGACAAAAGATAGGCTTCACCTTCAGATGCCCTATTTCTAGCACGTTACACACACCCCTTCGCCATACTGCTTTGTTCCCAGGAAACCCACCGGTGAGTCTGCTCCATTGAGTCAACTGCATTAAACCTCCCCCCCCCCCCACACACACTTTGACAGGGTCTCAGGCGAGCTTTAAATTCACTGTGCAGTCAACGATGACCTTGAACTTCCGATTCTCCTGCTGCCGTCTCCAAATGCTGGGATTACAGGCACGTACTACCATGCCTGGCTTTCCTTTTCTTTCATAGAGACAGGGTCCCACTATGAACCTGCCTGTCCTTGAATGCAGTGACCTATGTGCCTCTGTGTCCTCAACATCGGGATGAAAGATGTATGCCACCATGTCAGCCATGCCCAGTGTTTGTATTCCATGCAGAGGACCGAACCCAGGGGTCTGTGCATGCTAAGCAAGCTCTCTACCAACTGAGCTACAGCTGCAGACCCTCAATTGTATTAAACTTCAGACCCATGGTTTGTATTCTTTTCTTTCGTTTTTCAAGACAGATTTTCACTGTGTAGTCCTGGCTGTCCTGGAACTCATTCTGTAGACCAGGCTGGCCTCAAACTCACAGAGATCTGCCTGCCTCTGCCTCCTAAGTGCTGGATTAAAGGTGTGCGCCACCATCACCCAGCTCAGTGGTTTGTATTCTTATGAGGGTTTTGCTCCCAGTTTTTTTTTTTTTAACAGTTCTTAGAAAAGAAGATGGGTGCCAGGCAGTGGTGGCGCACGCCTTTAATCCCGGCACCTAGGAGATACAGGCAGGCAGATCTCTGTGAGTTCAAGGTTAGCATCGCCTACAGAGTGAGTTCCAAGACACAGTCAGAGCTACACAGAAAAACAAAAACAAAAAACAAACAAACAAAAAAAAAAAAAAAAAAAAAGAAAGAGAGAAAGAAAGATGGGGTGATTAGAGAGAGAGGGTGGGGTGATTAGAGAGAGAGGGTGGGGTGATTAGAGAAAGGATGGGGTGATACAGTCGAATCCATTCACAAGCACATAGCAGGGCAGAAATAGCCTCACTGCTGCCCCAGCTGCTGGCTGGCAGACAGCCCAGCCAAACAGAGCCCTGGCATCTGTCTGTCAGCTGATGGACAGACACAAGTGTGGTGTCCAATGAATTGGGCACCCCTGGGGTGTTCTGCTTAGGGGACACCAAGTATGAACAAAGGTCAAAGCCTGCCCCAGAGGCTGGTGAGTTTGACTCTAGACACTGTGTGGAGGAAGGAGAAAGATGGCACTTGAAAACTGTCCTCTGCCAAGCACACAGCAGCATACATGCGCATGCACTAATATACACATCACACACATATAATGTCTAAACCGGGCATGATAGTGCATGCCTTCAATCCCAGCACTTAGGATCTCAGTGAGTCTGAGGCCAGCCTGGTCTACAGAGCGAGTTCCAGGACAGCGAGGGCTACACAGAGAAACCCTGCCTCAAAAAAGAATAAAACAAAAAAAATGTTAAAAAAATAAAAAAGCCACAGCCTAGGTACTCAGCTTCTTTAGGCTGTTACTGGCCCTAGTCTATAATCAAGTCTATAATACCAAAATTTAGGAGACCGAGGCAAGATGATCCTGTGTTCAAAGCTAGCCACAGCTACAGAGCAAGACCTTGCTTCAAGGGCCCTGGTATCAAATCCTGATCGTGCCACTTGCCAGATGTTCACACCGAGTCAGAACCTTTCTGGACCTCAGTTTCCTCTTCTGTTTAGCTAACTTCTAGAAAGACTTTACAACTCTTCTGTGAAAATTAGGTACAAGGATGTTTGGGAAGTCCTTGGTCCAGAGCCTGGCACACAGAAGGGCCTGATTAATCGCTGTTTATCCTAAGTCCCTCACCCTATGGGCTAGTGACTCTAAGACCTGAGCGTTAGAAGATGAAGGACGAATGGCTTCCAGCCACTGCCCGAGGTTCTCTCTGTGGCGGCTGCCAAAGAGCGAGATGAGCAGCTGGGCGAGGGGAACTGGAGAAGATGGCCTCAACAGAGGGCTCTTCAGGACCCTCAAAGCTCCATTGCCCCCTTGAGGACCTCGAGGGCCTGCTTTCTCAGACTTTGGTGACTCGACCTCAAAAGAAATACAAATTTCACAGTGACCCAGCTAGTTGGGCTCTAAACAGCACTTCTGAGACAGGGTTCATAATAATACCACAGCAAATACATCCATAGCTCTCAAGGGGTTGGGCCCTGCTCTAATCATTTATCCCTTTTGAGTGAGTGAGTGAGAGAAAGAGAGAGAGAGAGAGAGAGAATGTGTGTGTGTGTGTGTGTGTGTGTGGGATATTTCTCAGGAGCAACTCACTTGTTTTGGATTTTTTTTTTTTAACACCTTTATTTGTGTGTGTAATCCCCAGCAAAGGTAGAAATCAGAGGATAACCTCTGAGAGTCATTTCTCTTCTACCATGGGGGTCCCAGGGGTCCAGCTCAGGTCGTCAGCTTTGGCGGTAAGCACCTTTGCTTGCTAAGCGTCTTGCAGATCCCCATGATGGTTTTTCGGCAGGGTCTCTCACTGGGACCTGGGGCTTGGCTGGCACCCTCTTGCTTCTGTCTCCTCAGCCCCAGGCTTACAAGCACTGAGCATCTTATTGGGTGCGGAGGGGGGTGGGGTTAAACCAGGCCCTCATGCTGGCAGCACGCTGTAGACTGAGGTAGTTCCTCAGTTTCTAGCTCCTTCTTTTTACGGAGCCCGGGCTGACTTTGAATTAGACCCTCCGGCCTCAGCTTCCAGAGTAGCTGGGATTGCAGGTGTTGCCAGCACGCTGGGCACACTCACACCACTGTTGATTTCCTTAGCCTCCCGAGTCACCCCAGAGGCTTTATCACTAATCGTCTACGGCCTGGTGGTGCTGGTCCATATTCCCCGCTATTTGGGAAGCTGGGGAGGGTCAACCAACCTTCAGGGACTGTACAGAAAATTCACACCTGTTCAATAGCTAAAAGAGGGCTGTGGCTGGGGCTCCGTGGTAGAGTGCCTGCCCAGCATGTGGGGGTCCTGGGTTCCATCCAAAGCACCTACTTGTTCCACCCCTTAAAAAATAAACAGTGACTCAGGTCTGGTCAATCAGAAGAGGCAGAATTCAGGGCAGTCACATGACTCAGTCTGGGTCAGTGTGCCTGGTTCTCTGTGCAAAGGTGCCCTCTGGAGTGGGAGCCTGGCTAGACTCCTGTGTGGAGCTGCCCTCTCTCTCTCTCTCTCTCTCACACACACACACACACACACACACACCACATATACACACACAAACCACACACACACACACACACACACACACACACACACCACACACACACACACACACACACACACACACACACCACACACACACACACAACACATGCTTAGAGTCTGTGTGCTCCATTTTGTGGCTAGATTTCTTGTCTGTCTTTCTTCCTTTTTTTTGAGTCAACAATCTTATTATGTAGCCCAGGCTGCCCTCAAATTCATGATCCTCTTGCCTAAATTTCCTGAAGAGCTGAGTTTCTTTTTGAGCATACAGGTACTTTGCCTCATGAATGTTTGTGTACCAGGTACATAATGATACCCACAGTAGCCATAAGTAGAATCCCCTGGAACTGGAGTTACAGATGGTTTCCAGCCACCATGTGGGTTCTGAGAATCCAACCCAGGCCCTTTGGAAAAGCAGCCAGTGCTCTTAACTAGTAAGCCATCTCTACATCTCAAGAGTTGGGTTTCCTCTAATTTTTTTTTTTTTTTTAATTTTAGAAAAGTTCTCATGTAGCTCAGGTTAGCCTTAAACACACCATATAGTTGTGGCTAACCTTGAAAGGCCCGTTTTCACATCTGCTCAGAGTTGGGATTACCACCATACTCAGCAGCGTTCCTCGATACCCATACCCAACAAATGTGGTTACTTTGGGCGGAGCAGCGGGGGACTCACAGCGCTCGCTCTGCATGTAACGGGTCACTCCTTCAAGGCTCAGCTCATCCAGCAGACGCTCCTTCTGGGAGCCCAGGCCCAGGGTCTGGGAGAATAGATTCCGCAGGAAGTCCACTGACCAACAACAAGAGAGACAGTGCCAGCTGGGCATTGAGCCAGGGCCCAAGACCTCGCCCCAACCGTACAATCTACTATTCTCCCACCACCCAAGTCCCGTGTCTCCCACAGCCAGCAGCCTCCAGTGCCAAGTCCGTTATTTACACTTTGGGTATCACTCCCGGCAGCTGGAGGGAGTGAACCCACCGCCCTACCCTACCATCCCAGAGAGATGCCTCCCAGCCCTCCTCCAGGAAGACACTTACTCTCTGCCTCTCCGCCAGTCGCTCCTCCCTCAGTGTCCGAGTCTGAATCCTGGAAGGGGCAGGTGGGATGGCCAAGCCCAACAAGTGGGGTTAGGGAAGAAGGAGGGGAAGGGTTGGGGGTGACACCTGCTTCAAAGAGAGTAGGGCTCTGACTGGAGGTGGCCTGAAGAAGTAGCGGGCCAGAATGAGGGCTCTGGGACAGGCTGCCTGTGGGGAGGGGACCCGGGTCTCCTCATGCGACTGACTTTTTAGGCCTTATCTTCTTTTGAGATGGGATCTCCCTGGCTGGCCTAGGACTGGCTATGTAGATTGGGCTGACCCAGAACTGCCAGAGATCAACCTGCCTCCACCTCCTTGGCTTAAAGACATGTACCACTCTATGCCTGCCCCCATTTTTTTTCTTTTGACAGGGTCTCTATATATCCCTAGTCGGCCTAGAACTCACTATGATACCCTGGAACTCAGAGATGCGCATGCTTCTGCCTCTTTCTGACTGCTGGAATTAAAGGCATGTACCACCATGCCTACCTACCTCTTTTTTGAGATAGGGTTTTCTGTAGCCCAGGCTGGCCTCACACTTGCTATGAGGGTTACAAGATGTTGGAGATCATGTCCAACATTCTAACCAGGTGTCCATCACAGCCTGACGAGGTGCTAGGGACGGTGAAGCCAGGCTCCACACCACCAGACCTAGACCTCGGGGACCTCAACTTGTCCATGCAGTTCATAGGTTGCCGTGAGTGAGGCTGAGCAGTGAATCCCTTGGTCTCTCTGCTGGTCCTCTCCACTTTCCTGAGCTACCTGCCACAGCGAGGCTACAGCCTATTCACTGGTGATGTTGCTTCTCTGTCCCCAGTCGGGAGTTACTCAAGCTAGCCTCAGCATCTCCCCAAAACCAGCTCCTGCTCCCATGGGGACGCCAAGTGGCCTCACTGTCCCTTAGTTGGCTTCGCTACTCCACCCTGTCCTTAACGCCAATTTCTAGTGTACCTACTTAGCCTCTGATATCCCTCTATACCCCCTCTCCCTACCCCAGAGCTCCACCTGGTTCAGCCTGTTCTCTCTCCGGAGGTCCTACTCTGGCTTCGTTGACTCAGTTTCTATTTGTGATCCTCCTATTCCCCATATACGGTACACTGTTTAGGGCAGTCCACCCGCTCTTCTTTAAAACCCCCTGAATCACTAACATCTACCAAGTGCCATAATATCAGCCACACAGGGCAGAACTTTATCTATGTTCACCACTTAATGCCCAGTCTAGATAACAGGACTTCCAAAACCATCTGTGTGGTTGGGTGGTAGGCCAGGGCTGGCCTTGCAGTAATGTCAGAAATAGTTTGACCAATGCAATCAACTAACTGCTCAAAAGTACCCAGACTACCCCTTCCCGACTCTGCTTCCAAACCTCCTTTCCAAATTATTTTTTTTAAAAAAGATTCTTTTGTTATTAGCGCTGTTTTGAGACAGGGTTCCCACGTAGACCAGGTTGGTAGCAATTTGCTATGTATCTGAGGGTGATGCCGGATTCCTGATCCACCTACTTTTATTTCTGAGGTGGTGGAACTACAGGGGCGTGTCACCGCCACACCTGACTCTAAAATGATTCTTTCCCGATTTTTAAAATTACACAAGCCGCCCAGAGGGCTCACCAGGGAAAGGCGCTCGCCACTAACCCTGACAATGAGTTTGGTCCCAGGTTCCCTGGGGTGGAAGGAGAGAACAGATGTCCTCAGGTCATCAAACACACACTGTGGCGTGTGCATCCTACCCACAAAACAAACAAGCAAAGTTCAGAAATTAAAAAGGGGGTTATACAATTTTTTTTTAATTTGAGAAGGGCCTCGCTCTTTCACCCAAGCTGGCTTCTAACCCACGATCCTCCTTTCCAGCCTCCTAAACCTTTGCATAGTGAACACATGCCAAAGCAAAGTCAAGCAGACTTAAGCAGGAAGAAACTCCAACATAATTTTAATTATGTGTGTGTACATGTCTGTGTATGTGAGTCAGATCCCCTGGAACTGGAGTTACAGTCACTTCTGAGTTGCCTGATACGGGTTCTTGGAATGGAACTCTGGTCCTCTGGAATAGCAGTATACATTCTTAGCCACGGAGCCATCTTTCCAGCCCCCCACCTCATTCTTTATTGTGGCTCGATAGTAACACATTGTATGATGAACCATAGTTCATTGACTCCCTCTCCTGACAGCCACTGGGCCTATTTCTAGTGTTTCCCTGCCTGGATAATGATGCAATTGACACCCCCACTTTTTAGCCACTGAGAATCCCTTCTGACTGTGAAACGCTTTGGCATCAAGTCTAATTTAGACAAGGAAGACACTAGGGACCCCCAGCAGGCTGTCACAGCTCTGCTGTGCACTTGTGGGGTGTTGCTGACCACAGCTTCTGTATCTGCCTCCCTTTTTGAAGAGTGATCTCATAGCAATGGGCATGCGGGCACTCAGTGCATTGTCTACTGCAATGCTTCTCAACTGTGGGGTGAGATCCCTTGGGGTTTGAGCAACCCTTTCACAGGGGTCGCATATCAGATATTTACATTACAATTCTTAACAGTAGCAAAATGAAGCAGCAACAGAAGTAGCCTTACAGTTGGAGTCACCCCAGCATGAGGGACCCTGTTAAAGGGTCACGTTAGGAAGGCTGAGAACCATTGCTCTAGTACCCCAGAACAACCTGGCATCTGGAGGCTCTGCAGGCCCTGGCAAGTGTCTTCAAACACCTTTGAGATGGTCCATCTACCTCCCCACTGCACTCAGTGCCTTTAGGGCCCATTTCCCCATAGGTTTCAAGTCCTTCCCTCTCCCTCTACCCGTGATCCTGCATCAAGTTCCTCGTCTGTAAAGTGTCCATGAAAGGCTTTATGTCACCGGGATGCCACTAAAACACAGGCAGAACATCAATAAAGGACCACCCCAGCAACAATTACTGCTCCTCCTTACCCCTCAGGTGCTCACCCTCTGTATGGAACACCACACCTGATCTTATCTAAGAAAAGTCTAAATCACTTAAGACACTGTGACTATACCTTGGACTTGTTCCTAGATCAGCTTGTGAATTTCTTCAAGGAAGAGTTTGGCTAGAACCTTCTATAATCTTCTTCAAGCCACAAACCTTGCTGTACACCCCTGGAGTGCCCCTCTCCCGTTGAGACAGGGTCTCACTATATGGCCCAAGCTGCCTCAAATTTCTCCAGTTTCCTGCCTCAGCCTCCCAGGCCCTGGGATTATGGGTACATGACGTCACACCCAGCCTCTGGGCAACTTTTAGAATCAATCAATCCCCACTCCATGAGATCTGTGAGTTTGGGGATCAAACTAGAAAGCTGTCTCTTCCAGGCTCAGCACAAACGAGGTTCAGAAAGGGTTGAGGAAGGGGTGGTCGACAGTAAGAAAAGAGGACAATATGGGAGGGCAGTCGGTGGTCGAGGATGGACATTTTTCCTTGACTGTCCCCAGAAGCCACCATTCCCCAGGAGGCTGTACTAATCCCCAGACGGAATTAGGGATCAGCCAAGGGCCCTTGGGTAAAAGCCTCCCCTTGCCACCTCCCCCCAGTGTGGAATGTGGAACCAAGTCCATCTGTCTCCTTCCCTCCAACCCTTTCCCCCATCTCACCTGAGCCTCCTGCACCTTCCCTGCCTGGGTCTCCAGAGGGTCAGAGGCTGGGGAGGAGGGGGAGCAGACGTGGTTACAGTGGGGGGAATAGTTAAAGGGATGAAGGATTCTCAGTGGCGGAGGCAACAAGAGGACCCACGCTAGATATCCTGGAGTCAGGGATGGTAGTAAGAGATGGGGAAGGCGGAGGAGGGGAAGGTTGAGCAGGAGAAAGCAGGCGAAACAGGACTGAAGGAAGACTTCAAAGTTAGGCAGGAGGACATGGTGGCGTGTGTGCCAGCTGGGAGAATGAGGGAGGGCGCAGTTTTTCAAGAGATGTTAAGTAGGGATACCTCGGCTGAGAGTTGAGTGAGGGAAAGGAGATGCGGTGGAGATGAGAGGTTTAGGAGAGGCACAGGAACAGAAGGAACGAGACAGAAAGGGGTAGCAGGGGTCCCCGAACATCTTAGTTGCCCCTAACACCAGACAACCTTAGCAACCGGGATCGTGGCAACTTTGGTCCTTAGCAACGAGGGTCCTTAGCAACCAAAGTGCTAGAAACGCGATCATTGACAAACGGACCCTTAAAAATCTCACAACCCAGAATCTCACCAACCTAGCAAGACGGGTCACTTAGCAACGGCCCTCCAAATCCCACTCCCTTCATGCAGCCCCTTTCTCCCACCCCACCGAGCCTGCCCGCGGGCCCCGGGGCCTGCAGCCCAAAGCCAGGCCCCGGCGCGGCCCGACCCTCCCACCTGGGCCCCCGACTCACGGTCCGGCTCGGCCATGGGAGCGGAGTGGGGGCCCTCGGAGCTGTCACCGACTGCTCTGTCCCGTGACGGCACCGGAAACAAGAAGGGGCCGAGATAGGCGAGAGGACTACAACTCCCGGCAGCCAACGCAGCCCAGCAACCGCTTTCGTACAATGCGCCTCTCGCGGCTTAGAACTACAAATCCCAAAAGGCCGGCTGCCTGCAGCCATATTGATAAAGGGCGTCTGGAAAAAGTGGGGAAACTCAGCGAGCCAGCGTCCAGCTCCTTATTCTGATTGGCCCTGGTTACGTACAGGGGCGGAGTGTAGCTATTTAACACATTTTTATTGGGTAGATGAGGGGGCGTGTTGGGGAATTCCCGGCAGGGCGGAAGCACTGGAGCTCACGGCGGAGCCTAGCGTCTGGCGGGCGACCACAGGGGGCCACCCGAGGTGGCGGGGCCATGGCCGGGGTCGCGTGTTTGGGGAAAACTGCGGAAGCCGATGAATGGTGTGACAGCGGCCTTGGCTCTCTGGGTCCCGACGCGGCGGCTCCCGGAGGACCCGGGCTGGGCGCAGAGCTGGGCCCGGAGTTGTCGTGGGCGCCCCTGGTCTTTGGCTACGTCACTGAGGATGGGGACACGTGAGTAAACCTTAAATCACCAAACGGAGCCCTAGGATCCTACCCGAGTCTCCACTGGCTTATGATTCCGTGACTTATCTTCTCGTTCCTAACTCTGACTTCCGAAGCTAGACTTCCTGACCCAATACTAACTGCCCAATACTAAGTGGTGAGGAGGCTAGTCTGTTTTTACCCACGGTCAAGCGTCTCACCTTTCTTGGAACTGTGAATTTGTGCTCCTGGAATCCACATCCTACCCTCGGATCCCCATACCGGAACTGAACCTTTGCTAGCACTCTAGTCCCCACACCTCTGACCTCTTGCTACTCTTGTATAAGACAGATTTTGATTCCCAAAATTAGTCCTTGGCCCTGAGTCTACGACTCTGACACTTCCAGTACTAATCTGCAGTTAAGAAATTGAGGTGTTGCGGGGCGGTGGTGGCGCCTTTAATCCCAGCACTGGAGAGGCAGAGGCAGGTGGGTCTCTGAGTTTGAGGCCACCTGATTTACAAAGTGAGTTCCCGGCCAGCCGGAGCTACATAAAATTCAGAATCTCATTTCCATCAGAATAGATTTATCAGTCAACCAAATGTTTCACACGACCACCTGTTTTCAATTGAACCGAGTGTGATGGCACACATTTGTAATCCCAGCATGCAAGGGTCTGAGGTAAGAGTATCTCTAGTCTGAGGACAGCCGGGGAGGATAAGGTATCAAAATTGAGTAAAGAGCCAGGCGGTAATGGTGCACGCCTTTAATCCCAGCACTCTGGAGCCAGAGGCAGGCTGGTCTCTGAGTTCAAGGCCAGCCTGGTCTACAGAGTAAGTCCCATGGTTGTTACTCAGAGAAACCTTGTCTGGAAAAACCAACCAAACAAACAATAAAAGAGAGAAGAAGAAAAGAAGGAGAGGGAAATTGAGAAGTGATTTTAAAAGGCAGGAAATTTTGATGGATAGCTAAACTGGGGAGAAGGGACAGCTGTGGTAAAGGTCTATGTAAGGGATTATACCTGGGATTTTTGGTTCTTTGTGCTTATTGCGTATGCCCAGTGACTCAGTGCCTGGCCCATGAGGAGAACATGATAATTTTAAAGAACCAGGTGTAGTTTCCTTAATTTTCTTGCTTTTCACTTTCTATTTTATTGGTCCCTGTTCCTTTATTATTTTATTTCATTCTGATTAGTCTGAATTTAAGTTTTGTAATGTTCTTTCTCCTTTTTTTTTTTTTTTTTTTTTTTTTTAACAGTCTTATGTAGCCCATGATGGCCTTGAGCTTGCTATTTAGCTGAGGATAACCTGCTTCCACTTCCCAAGTGTGCGTCATTATACCCAGCCTGTGCGCGTGCGTGCGTGCGTGCGTGCGTGCGTGCGTGCGTGTGTGCGTGTGGACTAGAGGATGACTAACCTTGCGTTGCCATTTTGTTTTGAGACAGTCTTTCACTGGCCCAGCACTCAACACATAGGCTAGATTAGCTGGCCGAGGGCCTCAGGGATCATCTCCTACCCCTTCTTCTCCTTCTTCAAGACCCAGTCTCACTGTGTAGCCCTGGAATTCACTGTGTAAACCAGGCTGGCCTGAAACTCAGAGATCTGCCTGCTTCTGCTTCCTGAATTATTTTACTTTAATGGATATAAATGATTTTACTTGCATACATGTAAGTGTGAACTATGTATGTGCTTGTTGGATCCCCTGGAACTGGAGTTATGGATGGTTGTGAGTCACCACCTAGGTGCTGGAAATCAAACCTGGGTCTTTTGCAAGAGCAACAAGTCCTCCATCGCCCCCAACCCCCCCAGGTTTTTCGAGGCAGGGTTTCTCTGCAGACGTAGCTGTCCTGGAACTCATTCTATAGACCAGGCTGGCCTCAGACTCACAGAGATCCACCTGCCTCTGCCTGCTGAGTTCTGGGATTAAAGGCATGGCATACCACCGCCCAGCTGCAACAAGTGTTCATAATTGCCGATCCATTGTTCTAGCCCCAGCCTTAAACTGTGGATCTTGCTGCCTGGGCCCCCAGGTGTGGTGATTTGTACCTGGCGTCTACATTGCTTCGGACTGATTATGCACACTAAGCAAATGCTGCACTCCCCAGCTCACCTTTCCTCTATTCTCGTGTGCTTTGAGTGCTGTAAATATTCCCTCCAGAGAACTTCTGATATATTGTGTTTTGCTTTCACTTAATTGAGTATCTTTTCTAATTTCTCTTTTGATTTCTCCTTTGGCCAGTAGATTATGAAGAAACATCTTCATTTTCCACCGTTGGAGGATTTTCCAGGTGTCTTTCTGTTACTGACTTTGAATATCATTTTACTGTGGGCAGAGAATATTCTTTACTTGATTTGCAGTTGCTAGTTTTTCTCTTTCAGTGCCGGGCATCAAACCCAGGCTCCTGTATCGCGGTTAAATAAGGATCAAGATAAACAAATAGGCCGAATAGATGTTTATTCAGGGAGAAATAACTTACAACCTAGACAGATGAACACCAGGAAATTCAACCCGATCCTCTCCTGTCCGAGTCACACCAGAAAGAGAGCGCCTTTCCTGGCCCCCTCCGACCTCCTTCCACAGGTCACTCCGCCCATGGCTCCACCCCCAATGGGCGTGGTCAGTGCCATAGAACTATCTCCTGAGTGCTAGACAAGTGCTCCATAGGGAATTGTGTCCCCTTGGGAATTCATTTTGATTTACTGAGATTCTTTTTTTTTTTTTTTTTTTTTTTGATCCAGAGTTATGTGTGCACTTATAAAGAATATATAAAATGGGATTGGAGAGATAGCTCACTGGTTAAGAGCACTAGCTGCTCTCTGGAGGACCCACCCAGGTCCAGTTCCCAGCACCCACAATGCAGCTAACAACTATCTACAAGTCCAGTTCCCATGTGTCTAGCGCCCTCTGCAGGCCTCTGTTAACTCCTGCATGCACATCCATTCACTCAGGCACACATGCTCTAAATAATTAAATAACCTGTGATTTAGAGGTAGCATTGGTTAGCAGTGTTGTTCAAAGTGGGGTGTATAATTACAGCTACAAAGAATACTGAGGCAGGAGGATTCTCAAGTTCAGGACCTGCCTAGGACCAGAGTGAATTCAAGTTCAGCCTAGGGAACATAATGGCAAGGCCCTGTCTCAATAAAGGGAACAAATAAGCGGAGGATGTGGCTCAGTGGTAGCACACTCCCTTGCATGCACAGTGCCTTAGGTCCAGCCCATTACTGCAAAAACCAGGCAGCAGCCACCACAACTTGCTGTTCCCGACTACTGTGTCTTTGCTGGTATTTTCCTATTTCTTCAAACAGTTAGTGACAGAGACTTATTGAAATCTCCAAGCCTATGGATCTGTCCATTCCTTCACATTCTGTTAGCTTTGGCTTATGTAATTTTTATTTTAATTTTCATTTCATAACAGGGTTTCTCTGTTTAGCTTTAGAGGTTGTCCTAGAACTAGCTCTGTAGACTAGGCTGGCCTCGAACTCACAGAGATCCACCAGCCTCTGCCTCTTTCCCCTTTCTCACATGCCACCATGCACAGCCTTTTTTTTTTTTTTTTTTTAACGACAGAATCTCACTATTTAGCATTTGACCCTGTTGGTCTAGAGTTCACTGTGTAACAATCCTCCTGCCTTAGCTTCCCCAGGTGCTGTTATCTGCCTAAATTCCTTTATAAATGCTGGTAAAACAAAGTTGGTAGCCAGGCCTACTTTCACAGGCCTGTCAGCCCAGCTACTCGGGAGGCTGAATCAGGAGGAACTTAAACTCAAGGTCAGCCTGGGTAATTTATGAAGACCCGTGGCTTATCTCGGAGCGCCAGCCAAGCAGACGAAGGAGGTTGCTGGATTCACTCCCGTCCTTGGCTCTCCCGGACACTAACGTGTTTTCCAGTTGTGGCCACAGTTTGCAGCGCACGGCTGAGCTCCGTGTTTATCGACCTCTGCCTCTGTCCCCAGGGCCCTGCACTTGGCCGTGATACATCAGCATGAGCCCTTCCTGGATTTCCTCTTGGGCTTCTCTGCCGGCACTGAGTACCTGGACCTGCAGAACGACCTAGGCCAAGTGAGCCACTGCGGACAGGCCCTGTAGGGAGCCGGGCCCAGGATTGTCAGTGTGGCCCTAACCCCTGCCCTCTCTCCCTGTAGACAGCCCTGCACCTAGCAGCCATCCTGGGGGAGGCATCCACGCTAGAGAAGTTGTATGCAGCTGGCGCCGGAGTGTTGGTGGCTGAGAGAGGGGGCCACACCGCACTGCACTTGGCTTGTCGGGTGAGGGCACACACGTGCGCATGCGTGCTGCTCCAGCCCCGCCCCAGACGCCCAAGAGATGCCTCAGATACCTACCTCACTCAGAACCGGGACAATACTCCAGACACCAGTCACACCCCTGTTGCTGTGAACCCCCAATCCAACCCAGAGAGCGGAGAGGAGCCAAGTGACGACGACTGGAAGCTGCAGCTAGAAGCTGAAAACTATGAGGGTGAGGGCCCTGGGCCCTGGGAAGGACGAGAACCCCGGGCCAGAGGCAGGGAAACAAACTACCCGCTCTTCTGACCCAACTTGAAACCCAGCCGCTGGCTGCAGACATAGCTCAATCAATGGATGCTTTTCTGACATATAGAACTCCGGGTTCAGTCCCCAGCATAAACTGGGCATGGTGGTGCACGCCCATAATACCAGCCCTTGGGAGGTGGAAGCAAGAGGATCAGGCGATCAAGGCTATCTGCGGTGCTTTCTAGCTAGTTTGAAGCCAGTCTAAGTTCAGGAGAGCATGTCTCAAACAAACACTAATCTCAGGGCATGGCTGTGTGCAGCTATAATTCCAGCAGCTGCGTGACAAAAGCCAGAAGCAGAGACATCATGAGATTAGGTTCAGCCTGTGCTACATAATGAGTGAGCCCGTTTAAAAAAAAAACACAAACAAACAAAAAAACCCCAAAGCAAAAATCATCCCTAGGCTCCAGGAGTCACAGCACTGGGGCTTAAGGACCTCTACTCAGCCTCTAGAGTATTAAGAATTGGACATACAGGGCTCCTTTTCCCCAGATTTGGTCATCAAACCACTTGCAGTCCAGACCTGCCACCCTCAGATCCAGAAATGCCAGGATACAGTGGTTGAGCCTAGGCTACCCATCTGCAAGGTGTCCTCCCCCCAGAACTGTTCCCAAGTATAAGCCACTAGCCCAGCCTGTCCAGGACAGGAGGGTCCACCCCATACCCCCCAGCCATAGGCAGAAGGTGCAGAGTTTACCCTCCTCAGTCAGGCCTCATGGGAAAACAACTAAGGTCATCTGGCAGCCAGTGTCCCAGGTCCTTTGTGCGACTTCTATTGTTATTGCCCTTGTTTGTTTGTTTTGAGCTGTACATGCTCGCCGAGCCCCTGTTCTTTTTGAAGACCAAAAGCTTGGTTCTGTTGGGCGGCAGATTAAGGGCTGTCATTCAGAGTCCCTAGGCTCATCCCCTGTAGATCCCAGATACTGTACCATGAAGGCTTACACCCGCCACCATGCTGACCAGAGACTTAGGCATCTGGAACTCAGGAGCCAGACCCCAAACCTGGTATCCGTAGCTCACGTGGCCTTTCCCTAGGGTTGTGACAGAGCTGTGGCTCCTTAGCTTATCTGACACTGGTTGCTCTGTCCCCAGGTCACACCCCACTCCATGTAGCTGTCATCCACAAAGATGCAGAGATGGTGCGGCTGCTCAGGGATGCTGGAGCTGACCTCAATAAACCGGTGAGCCACTGGCGGGCCAGTGTGGGCGAAGGCACTGTCCCTCTTTGGAGTCACTGACTGCTCTGGCACATCCCACAGGAGCCCACATGTGGCCGGACCCCTCTGCACCTGGCAGTAGAAGCCCAGGCAGCCAACGTACTGGAGCTTCTTCTGAAGGCTGGTGCTGACCCCACTGCCCGCATGTATGGGGGCCGCACCCCACTCGGCAGTGCCCTGCTCCGGCCCAACCCTGCCCTTGCCCGCCTCCTCCGTGCACATGGAGCCCCTGAACCTGAGGATGAGGATGATAAGCTTGGCCCTTGCAGCAGCAGCAGTGACAGTGACGACAGCAGAGATGAGGGCGTGAGTCAGGAGCGGGTGTCCCAAGTGGAGGGGTCAGGGTGAACCTTGGTGGATGCTGCCGGGACTTAGACAGGGGACACATGAGACACGGGGAAGCTGCCCTAGACTCGGGCAAGGGTGGCTGAAGAGCTCAGGCAACCTGTCCTGGTGACACACACCATTAGCCTCGAATCTCAGTATTCAGGAGGCAGAGGCAGAGGCAGGTGGTTGTCTGTGAGTTTGGGGCCAAAGGACAAATCCAGGCTAAGTTAGACACCCTAGGTGGCCATGAACACAGGTAGGGAGGGTCTGAGCATGGCAGGCGACTTTGGGAGCAGGAGGTGCAGAACTTGGGCTGTAGGTAGTGACCTTGGTCAGAGTGGCCAGAACACTGATGGTAGAGAAAGACCTCAGGTGGCGATGAAGGGGACATTACTGAAGAACCAGGCAACAGCATGAAGAGGGCTGAAGGTGGGTGAGGGCACAGGGAAGTGGGGAGGGAGCCGCGTGAGGCTGGGACCACGGGGGTGATGCTGGTACCGAGAGCCAGGCCCTCCAGCATGGTGCATTGAGAGGAGAATAGTAAAGGAGGGGCAGGGGACACAGGCGACACAGGGGTCATTAAGTGCTGCGCCCTGGGCAGTGGGCAAGGTGGCAGCTACCTGACACACGCGTTTTCCTTCTCTGTCCCAGGATGAGTATGACGACATTGTGGTCCACAGTGGCAGGAGCCAAAACCGGCTACCTCCCTCCCCCGCACCCAGACCTCTTCCTGATGACTCCAACCCTGCCTGACTTAAGTTCTAATATTAATATAATTTCCAATTTAATAAAATTTCAGACCTGGAGCCAGAGCCCAGACTAATAATGCCTTCCTGCTTATTTCAGGTCCCATCCCTCAAAGCTATGTGAGCCGCAGGGTTTGCTTTGTGCTTTATTCACTCGGAGGGGTGGAGGGGTGGAGGGATGCAGGGGAGGAGGGGTGGGGTTCTGAGTCAGTCTGCACTCAGCCCCTGACCCATTCACACTTCTCTCCGGCCTGGTACTCAGGAACACCCTTGCTTCCCACTCCCTTCCAGATGGAATGGGGGCTCTGAGCCCTAGGGAGTATGGGAAAGGAAGAGAGTGGAGTGGGGTCAGCCTTCCCTCCCAAGCGCCTCCCCCAGCATGGCAGTGGCCTTCTTTAGCTGCTCCTTCATGCGCTCTAGCCGGTCCACATCGCCTTCCTGGGGGAGATCAGAAACATGGTCACCAGCTTTGTGGCCACTGTGAATCCGACCTGCCACTTCATACGCTGGTGGCCTGGAGTCCTTTCCTAACTGTCTGTCATGGTCAGTGATGGCTACTGTCTTCCTTCCCACAAACCTAAAAGTTCCGTTTGCCCACCAACCAGCATGGAAGTCCACATTTCCTGCCACACTGATTTCTGAGTGCTGGGACTACAGATGTGTGTCGTCACAGCTGGCTCACGCAGTGCTTAGAATTGACCCCAGGGCCTGTGCACGCTATACATACATCCTACCATGGACCTACATTCTAGCCCTGGGTGACCCACCTGTGATGTGCTGCTCCCGACTGAGGCTGCATTTCATCCATTTAAAAGAAAACTGTGTGTGAGTGTTTGCCTGCATACATGCCTGTATATCACATATCTGCCTGGTAACCTGGAGACTAGGAGACGGCACAGGAAACCTTTGGAAATGGAGTTACAGTCACTACATGAACCCTGGGAATTGAACCTGGGTCCTCTGGATGGATAGCCAATGCTTTGAACTATTAAATTATCTCTCCAGCCCATAATTTTAATTATTATTTATTTTTTTGGTTTTTTGAGACAGGCTTTCTCTGTAGCTTTGGAGGCTGTCCTAGAACTCGCTCAGTAGACCAGGCTGGCCTCAAACTCACAGAGATCTGCCTGCCTCTGCCTCCTGAGTGCTGGGATTAAAGAAGTGCGCCATCATGGCTCAGCTAGCCCATAATTTAAAAAAAGGTTTATACATTTATTTATTGTGGGTGTGTATGTGCACATGTGTACCACAGCTTACGTGGAGAGGTCAGAGGACAGTCTGGGAGTCAGTCCTCTCCATACGCCACACGGGGTCTAGGGATTGAACTTAGGTTGCCAGGCTTCTTGCCGGCCAGTGGGACATATTCAACTTTGCATGATTTAGCCAGTGGTATCTGTCACTAGTGAACTAGGAGTGTAGCTGCTGGCTTCAGTGGGAGCTGACTTCCTTAGTACAGACTGTCAATGGTGCCTAACGCTGATGCTTCTGGGTAATTAGTGTGTCTTCCTGGTCACTGTCCTTGTTTGGGCATTGCTACCTAGCCCTGGTGCATGCTTGGTCACTCTGACCCATTTCATGGTGGATTTCCTTGTGGCCCAGCGCAAGGAGAGAGCCCTTGGGTGGCCTTGGAGCAGCCCCTCCACTCACCTCCTGTTCTGAAGCTGTCTCCTCCTCTGCCTCTTCCTCCTGCTTGGCCTTGGTGTCCAGCTGCTCCAGATGGTGACGATGGCTCGAGGACTCATGCCTTCCTCCCCCAACCATCTCAGCCCCCTGCCACAGATTGTGATCTCCGCCCATCAGCTGCACACCCTTCTCCTCTGCCTGAAACTGGGCCGTCTCCTCATCGCTGGCCTTCTCAGCCACCCGCTTCTGGGGGTCCCTGGCACCCTCTGGATGCTGCTCCCACATATGCTCAAAGGTCTTCCCTGGATGGCTCTCCTCCTCCTGGCGGAGCTGGCTGTGGAGCTGTGTGTGGACGGCCTGTTCCCGCACCTCAGACTTGTGGGTCCTGTCTGCTTCCTCCTCTTCCTTGTCCCTTATCTCCTGGCTGGACCTCATCTTTCCAGCATCCTGCTTGGTGAAGTCCCCACCCAGCAATCTCTTCTCCTCAAGGGACACACAGCCATGGGGCTCTCTCTCAAATATCTCTGGCAGGGAAAGATAGGGTGCTCGGTGTGCATCCATCTGAGAAATGGAGGCCCCCGAAGAGTTCTGGGTCCTTCCCTTCATGAAGGGAACTGCTTGGCACTGGGAGGGGGTGGGGGCTACAGATGTCCTCTGCTCCAGTCCCTATGCTGCAAGAAGCTTCGAGAAAGCCAGGTTCATTCAGGGGTGTGTGTGTGTGTGGGGGGGTAAGTAGTACCACACTAACCCAGGCCAGGGAACTCTTCCACCGTGCACTGTGGGCCAGTAGGAGGGTAGAAAAGGATGCTGGGAGTCTGGGGCATCCCTACCTTTGTGGAGCAGAGTTGTGCAGGGGCTTCTCTGGGCCTGGCCCAGTGTGAGCACCTCCATGACCACTTCTGCTAGACAGCGGGTTAGCTGGGGGCAAGGGGGAAAGGTCAGAGGGAGGGCAAGGGCAAGGGCGGTGGAAAAACAGAGTGGCTACAGGATTAAAAAAAAATAGGTGTGGAGCCTGGGAAAAGTTGGGCAGAGGGGACCCAGCAGGATGGAGATGGCAAAGAAGGGGGCTCCACTCTTACCTCCTCCTTGGAGGGTCTGGGCGCCAGGGGAGCAGGGGAGGCTGTGGAAGGAAGAAGCGGGCACTGTCCGTGGTGCTGATCCCAGCCCCAGCCCACCAGCCCGGCACCTGCCAGGTGTGCTGTCCCCGTCGGTAAGCTCAGCTGCCTGTCAATCAATACCCCAACCCCTGGTGTACGCCTACCACCTATTGATCCCCCTGTGGGCTCTGGACTCACCAGCCACCAGCAACAGGGCCAGCAGCAGGGACAGCGGCAGCAGAGCTGCGGAGATGAGTGCTCGGTGGGGCATGGTGGTGAGTCCGGACCCGGGACCTCTCCACTGAGCAGACAGCCAGTGCCACAGCCTTATAACCCAGGTGCAAGGCAGGGGAGGAAACGACGTCACCACCCCCCCTCCCCAGATCAGGGAGTGGGGACAGCTGCGGGGCGCTGCAGGGCCCTCAATTATTCATGGGAACCAATACTCAAGCATGCACCCCTCCGGGCTTCTGGCCCAGAAGCACAGGGTGGGGCTGGGGGAAGGCTCTCCTCGCCTGGAAAGTGGACCCTCCTAAATCTCTCTCTTCAGAGGTACAAGCTCCTTCTGGCCTAGTCCGAGCTCCACCATCCACTAGCTGGCAGTGCTGGGAGTATTGCTTAAGCTTTCTTAAATGTAGGAAAGTTTTGGTGACAGCCCACTCCAGAGCTTTTGGGCAAAAGTGAACTATGAGGAGTGCTCGGGCAGTGCCCTGGACTGGGAACTGCACAGTACCGTGTGTGTGTGTGTGTGTGTGTGTGTGTGTGTGTGTGTGCGCGCATGTGGTGTTGTGGGGTGTACACACATGGAGGCCGCTTTTTCTCTATTGCTCTTCACTTTATTTTTTGAGGCAGGTTCTCTCATTGAACCTGAAGCTAGACTTTTTGGATAACCCAGTTGGCCAGGAAGCCCCTGGGAGCCAACTGTCTGTCCACTGAGTGCTTGGGTTACAAGAGCACTCAGCTTTTACATAGGTTTCAAGGATCAGAGCTCAGGTTGTCACACTAGCATTGGACCTTTCACATGAAGCCTTAACCAACTCCCAAGTAACTTTCCCCTTGCCTGCCTTTCTCTCTTTCTCTCTTTTTGGAAGACAGGGCCTTGCTATGCAGCCCAGGCTGGCCTCAAATTTATGGCAATCCTCCTGCCTTGGCTTCCAAAATGCTGGGGTTACAAGTGGGAAACTACTGATAGTATCCAGTAAACTAGTTTTGTTTTTTTTGAGACAGGGTCTTGCTAGAGATACATTGTACTAGTTGGAAACTCCTTAATTTTATATTCTGTGTATTTGTGGCTGTGGGTATGTACGCATGTGAGTGCAGGTGGCCTTGGAATCCGGAAGAGGACATGAAAGCAGCTGGAGCTGGAGCTACAGACCGTTGTGAGCTACCAGATGTGACAATTGGGAACTGAACTTGAGTCCTTTGAAAAAGCAGCAGGTGAGCACTCTTAACTGCTGAGACACAGCTTCAGCCCCCCCCCCCCAAGACAGAATCTCTCTGTGTAACAGGCCTGGTTGTCCTGGAACTCACTCTGTAGACCAGGCTGGCCTCCAACTCAGAGATCCGCCTGCCTCTGCCTGCCCAGTGCTACTGAGATTAAAGGTGTGCGCCACCACCTGGCTCAGCTCACTTTAAGTCAGGGTCTCACTATGTAGCCCTGGTTGGTCTAGAACTTGCTATATAGACCAGATTAGCCTCAAATTCCACCTGTGTCTGCCTCCCAGGTGCTGACACTAAAGGCAAACCTTTACTTCATTTTCCTGCCTCAGCTTCCCACATGCTGGGACCACAGATGTGGGCCACCATACCAGACTCCAGTAATTTTCATTTTGAGACAGGACCTGATGTATTCCAGGCTGGCTTGGATTTATGTGTAGCAGGAGAGAGAGAGAGAGAGAGAGAGAGAGAGAGAGATCCACCTGCCTCTGCCTCCCAGGTGCTGGGATTATAGACACATACTAAAAATGCCCAGTTAATTGTGGCTAGGGAATCGAACCCAGGGCTCTGTGCATGCTAGGTAAGCACTCTACCAACGGAGCCACACCAGATTCCCCCAGTAACTTCCACTGGGCACTTAATGTAGGCCAACTCTTCTCCACAGACCTGGATTTACAGCAGTGAGTAAACTGGCCAGCGTCTCAGCTCTGTTGGAACTGACATTTGAGAAACCGGGCAGTCCACAATTACAGATACATCTTTTATGACTAGCCTGGTGGAAGACAAAAGTGGCCAGTTGAGGAGTGGGGCTGAGGGAGGAGGAAGGAGAGGGTAACTGGCAGACCCTGGAACATTTGAAAGTGAAGCCTCAGGTTTGCTGACTGGAGGGATGGAAAAATGCCAAGGGTAGCTCGGCAAGTGGCTGCAGCTTCGCAAGGTGATGAGCAAGATCCCCCAGGGGAGGAGCTAGTGTAGGCAAAGGGCTTGGGGAGCCTGTGAAAGGGCGAGGAGACCGCAAAGGAGTCTGGGGATCAGCTTCCGTGAGTGTGGCACTCAGGACAATACAGGAGCTGGGGACCACGGGTCAAAGGATTTGAGAGCCATCAGAGGATGATGGCCTTCTTGCCCCAGAGGAACAGAGGCCTTGGCATCCTTTCACTTCCCCTGGGAGTCCTCAGGCCACCTCAAGCCCTGTGGGCAGCCACAGGAGCTTGAATGATGTCACCTAGCACGTCTCTCACTCACAGATCCAGGGGATTTTGGTCTTGCGACCATTTATTGTGGGCCTTCTGCTCAGCACCAAAGCAGGAAGGAGGCCGATGGGGTAGAGCTCTATGGCTCTCCCCACATCTTTCTGTCATAGGCTGAGACATGCCTCTGGCTCACAGCCCCAGTGACAGCAGAGGGCCAGCTCCAGGAAGAGGTTCTAAATGTCTGGGGCCTCTAGAGTGCCAACCTCTAGAGCAGACAGTTGTCAGCTGGCTGCAGGCCGGCCGGGGAGACTGGGCTTCTGGGGCTGGTTGGGGCCGATGTACTGGAGAGGCACATGGGTGGGCGCTGTGATCCGGTCAGTGCCTGTGTAGGGCTGGAGGACAGCGGGTACAAGGACGGAACCATCCTGGGGACAGAGCAGTTATCAGGGTACTACCCTTCCTCCAACTCTCTCCTCCGCTGCTGGTGGAAATCCCAGCCTCTTGGGCTTTTCAGTACCGCCAGTTGAACCCAGGATCTCCCCCAAGCCAGGTAAACTCTTAACCACTGAGCCACACCCCAGCCCCTCACTGGGGGATTCTAGGCAGGGGCTCTACCACTGAGCCACACCCCAGCCCCTCACTGGGGGATTCTAGGCAGGGGCTCTACCATTGAGCCACGCTCCAGCCCCTCACTGGGGGATTCTAGGCAGGGGCTCTCTCACTGAGCCACGCCCCAGCCCCTTACTGGGGGATTCTAGGCAGGGCTCTACCACTGATCCACGCCCCAGAACCCCCTCCCCCTTTTAAACTTGAGATAGTAAAGATTCCCAGGCAGCCCTTGAACCTGTAGTCCTCCCGTCAAACCTGAGATTCCAGGCTTGGGGAATCTCTCACCTTTTGCTGATTGCTCTCCAGAAGGGCAATGAGGACTCGGGGGACAGCGCAAGCTGTGGCGTTGACCTGGGAGAGGGGTGTGTCAGGACCAGGCTGACTTTGTCCTGGCCCTGGGAGGGGGATGAGGTACTGCAGAGGACAGGAAGGTGGAGATGCAGTGAGGGCCTCACCGTGTGTGTGAACTGCAGCTCCCCGGTCTCCGTCTCAGACATGATATACAGACGGCGGCTCTGGAAGTCCGTGCAGTTGGAGGCGCTGGTGACCTGGAGCAGGGGTGACAGGGAGGCTGTTTTGGGGGACAGGCCATCATCCAGTGTCTCACCACATGTCCCCACTAGGCCAGGGCTTTCACCTCTCCGTATCGGCCTCGGCCAGGCATCCAGGCCTCAATGTCGAACTTTCGGTAAGCGGGAAGGCCCAGTTCCTGGGTGGGCATGTCCAGCACCCTGAGGCCAAGGTAAAAAACAGGGTGAGAGTTCCTGGGCAAGGGGGAAGGATGGTCCCGGGAAAGAGGAGGAGGCCGTGAAGGAGGCCGGAGAGAAGGGAAAGGAAGGGAGGAAGGGATAAGGACACAGGATGGGGGAACCAGGCGCTGGAGAGGTGGTACCCAGAGGAGACCGAAGGACAGTCACACAGCAGTCTATGGGTTGGCTACTCACCCAACCATTCTTACAGTCTAGAACAGCATCTCCAGTTTGGGAATTCTAACTGGCCTTTCCTCTTTGTATGGTTTTTTTGGTTTTGTTTTGTGTTTTTTGTTGTTGTTGTTGTTCTTTTTTTTTTTTTGGTGGCAGGATCTCATGTTGCCCAGGCTGGCCTAGAACTCACTCTGTAGCTGAGAATGGCCTTGGACAGGATCCTGATCACAAGTGCTGGGATTGCAGATGTGCTTCTCTAGGCTTCATTTTTGGGTGTGCTCACTGACTGCACTAGACAGGCCAGGCATCGAGCTCTAGGGATCTGCCTGCTTCTGACTCTCCAGCACTGGGGTTACAGATGCTCGCCATCACCCCCCAGTGATATAGGGGTGCTGGGGATCAGAACTGCGGCTCTCACGTTTGCACAGGCGGTACTTTTCTGGGCTTTGTTCCGTTTCCTTTGAAATAGGCTCTCGTTCAGTCTCAGTTTTTTGTTTGTTTGTTTGTTTATTTGTTTTGCAATGAGTCACCTGAGGAAGAGGTGGCCTTCTTCAGGCCTCTGGAAAGCTGTGTGTCCTAAAGGATGAGTGGGCCTTGTGGTACCCGGTGCCTCCTTTTCCCACCCCTGCTCCACCCTGGAGGACAATGAGGTCTCTGGGACCTCACTCTAGGGATGGGGACCCACCCTCAAAGCAAGATGCTTTTCACACTCCCATAAAGCAAGATAATGCAGACAGAGGCCTCACCCAGGGGAAAGGAGGCAAAGGGTCAGGTGGCAGGGCAGCCCAGTCAACCCTCCCTCAACCCCCATCAGCCCCACCCATCTCCGCACCGGAAGTGCAAGCCCAGCTCAGTCAAGATCTCCACTTGCAGGGACAGGAACTCATCCAGCAGCTGCGAGCTCTGCTCCAGCCCAGGGGCTGTCACGCCAAACATCTCCACCTGGGACAGGGCAGGGGTACCGGGTCAGGAGGTCCCGGGTGGTGGTGGTGGGGACCCGTGCATGGCCAGCTAGGTCTGTGCCACTCACTTTAGAGAAGTGATGAACTCGGTATAGCCCCCTAGGCTCCTTCCCAGTGTCTGTCTCGGCTCGGTAGCAGGTGCTGGCACAGACCATCCTACAAGGAGCATGTGAGGTTGGGTCAGGGAGGGTAGGAGACATTACCACAAGATCTAGGATTAAGGAAACTGGGCGTCACCTGACTGGCAGGTCCCTGAAAGCCACAGAGTGGTCCATGAAGTATCCTGGGAGGAGAAAGAGGAAGGGTGGGATTAGCCAGGGTTGCCATCTCCCACAGGAAGTGCCAGTGACACTTACAGTAGAACCCTACCTCAGGTACATGAGCAGTCCCTGTTCTTTTGAGCAGTCAGCAACCTACACAACTGTGTGTGTTAGCTTCAGGGCTCTGACCTGTCCCTTGCAGGGGGCCGTCCCCCCCCCAGACAGACGCTCACCTGCCAGCCCCACCTCTGCTGTCCCAGCCAGGTTTAGATCTTCGAAGCGGGAGGGGTCAATATTGTAAATTTGGGATGGGTTGGCGTTTGGTGTCATCCCACAGCCTTCCTAGGGGAAGGTTGCAGGGGTCAGGTCACCTTGACCTTCCCCATTCTGGAGTCATGACCCCAGCCATTCCTCTAGAAGCATCTGGAATTGCTCCTTCTCCCCCCCCCCCATTATGGCTGACTTCATGACTCAGCCCCAGGGTAGTCTCCTCAGGGACAGAGAGGGCCTGTCACTCAGGCCTCACTCACAAACACAGCTCCTCGCAGAAGGTCTGGAACCGTCATGGGGGTGAAGCCCTAGGGAGAGGAGAAGGGGTAAGAGGCATGTAAACCTAAGACCTGAGGAGGAGATGGTGGCTGCACCCACATTCCACAGTCCACCCCACACAGCACACCAGTGAGACCTGAGCCCTGGGACCCTGGTAGTGGGACTCTCCTACTGCAATCACCCAGCTTTCCTTGCGGTTCATCCAGAGGGCAGCTGGCGATGCTACTGAAGAGTACGAATCTAACACGTCCCTTCCCTGCTGGAAGCCCCCCATGGCTCCCTGATGCCCTCAGAAGACCTTATTTAATCCCAACAGGTAGGAGGAGGCAGGGATGGGCAGATCTCTGAGTTTGAGGTTAGCCTGATCTACAGGTGGAGCTCCAGGCCACCAGCTAAGGTTAAATAGTGAGACCCTGTCTCAAAACAAGAAAGACAGACAGACAGAAAGAAAAAACCTGAAAGCCTGTGACGCCCCCAAGTGGCCAGCAACTCATGCTGTCAGCCTGTGGACTCCTCGCCACAGTGGACGCTGTGCTGCCCACATGCCCCCAATGATGCAGCAGGAAGTGGGGGGGGCGGTGACGACAAGCGCAGGCTCCAGGCTAAGGTCCGATACCTTACACTTGCCACGGCTCCTCAAGCCTCAATTTTCCCATCTCAAAAGGGGACAAAACAATAGCATCCACCGAGCACTGATGACTTAGAAATTAATGCGCTGAGAATATACACGGATGTGGACTGCGACACACTGTCCTCTTGGTGTCTTTTTGAGACAGAGTTTCACTATGTTGCCCAGATCAGTCTTGATCCTGCCTAGCTTCCGCAGTGCTGGATAAAGTGTGCTACTCTCTCTCTCTGTGTGTGTCTATGTCCCAGGGAACGGAACCCAGGCCCTTCCAGTTAGCTGAGGTCCATTCCTATCCCCCTTGACCACCCTTAACCCCTCTAAGCTGGGTACCGATGCCACCCACTCCAGGCAGTCCTCAGGTAGGCCATACCCTGCTGATAAGCTTGCTGAGGGTAAAGTTGATCAGGCCATGCTGTAAGAGGGCCCCAGCCCCGCGCAGGTAATAGGACCGGTGGCCAGACACGTGAGACAGGCGCCTAGAGACGGACAGGCAGACAAACCAGCAGGGCCTATGGGCCAGGGTGGGTGGGGAGAGGGCGAGTACCCAGGGGGCAGGGGCCCAGATGCTAAGCGGGCCTGGCATCAAATATTCATCTTGGGCAGGCCCAGCCCTGGCATTCCACTTTGTACCCTAAGGCTGCAGGACAGAGCTGGCTGCCAGCTGTTAGTGTGGGGTGATGGGGTAAGAGGGGGGTGAGGCGGGGCGGGGCGGGGGGAGGGGTGCTCACTTCTGCCGGATAATGTCGAGTTTCTCGCCAATTTCCAGGTGGCCTCGGGGTCGGAAGGAGAAAACTGGTTGTATATAAAAAGCAATGGGGTAAGAAAGGAAGAAAGATGAATTGGAGAGAGGGGGGTTAGGGAGCAAGGAGAGATGGGTGTGGGGGAAGGGAAGGAGGGTAAGGAGAGGAGAAAGGAGAGAAGATGAGAGAGAGGGGAGGGGAGGGGAGGGAAGAGAACCAGAAGGGAATGGATGGGTGAGGTAAGGAGAGATCACACAGAATGAAGACACACACAGGAGCTGGGAAGGAAAGCCCCAGAGAGTGGGGACCAGAGCAAAGCAAGTTAGGGAAGACAGACAGACAGACATGCTGTACCCACACTAGGGTGGGCTACCCAGCGAAGGAAGGATGAAGAGACTCAGCCTCAGCTCAAGTCAGGTGGGCTGCTCCAGCTGCACCCCACCCCCACCCCTTCAAGACTACCCATGCCCCACCCCCAGCCTGAGATCCATGGGACAGTGGATTTGGGCGTGACTCACCTGGCTTGTCTCCCACTACACGGAGCACTCTAGCCTGGCTCTCATCCCCAACAGGCTGCAGGAAGAGGAGCGTGTCAGAGGGGAAAGCGAGAGCTCGGATGCCCTGGGTCCCTTGCGGTTTGAATGGCCTTTACCGTGTCTGGGTGTGTCTGGTTGGGCAGCCTCAGTGCCTTCAGGTAGAATTGCTCTTCCAGCTCGGTCTCTCTGGGGTACAGCGGCGTGAGCTGTTTCCGGATTTCCCGGCCGCGGGCCCGCAGACCCTGATATTGGGGGTCCTGGACACAGTAGAGAGAGTTAGCCTTGGGGAGGGTCAAGGATCCCTGCAACAGCCTGACTCATCCATGCTGGCAGGACAGCATGCATGTAGATACTCGACACCTCTTTCCATATAGCAATCTGAGCTTCCGCTCAATTGATAAATTCATGCAAACAAGGCTCGGGCCTGGCCAACTGTTGCTTTCGCTGTGAGGACACAGGAGCCAAGCTGAGCTACCCATAATCAGCCTGAGGACCCTAGAGGGAACTATCAGGATGGTGACTTACTTCCTCTGACAGAAAGAAGAAAGCCGGGCTCAGAATAAACCAAGTAACAGAGCCAGGAGCTCCAGCTGTGCCTGATGCCAGTTTATTTTTACAAAGAAAGTAACAGGCTGCTTTTATTTTTAATGTCTATTTTTTTTTTTTTTTAATTGTGTGCATGAGCCAGAGAGCAAATCTGGGTCCTCTGGGCTATTTCTCTCGACGTAAGCTTGTTTTGTTTGTTTGTCTGTTTTCTCGAGACAGGATTTCCCTGTGTAGCTGTGGAGCCTGTCCTGGAACTTGCTCTTGTAGACCAAGCTGGACTCGAACTCACAGAGAACTGTGTTCCTCTGCCTCCCAAGTGCTGGGACTAAAGGTGTCTACCATCACCGCCCACCTTCTGTTTGTTTTATGAGTGCTCTGCAGGCCAGAAGAGGGCATCAGATCCAATTATAGATGGTTGTGAGCCACCATGTGGGTGCTGGGAATTGAACTCAGGACCTCTGGAAGAGCAGCCAGTGATCTTAACCACCGAGCCACCTCTCCAGCCCCAGTGGGAGCTGTTCTTTTTATCTTACCTCCTAACCCTGCCTGAATTATACAGTCATGACAGAGAAGAACTGTGACCAACACGGAACCCTCCCCGCCCTCCCCGCGGGGGCACGTACATCAGGGCGTACCTTCTGCACTTGGCCACTGTCTTGATCTACCTGGTGGAGAAGAGCAAAGGGGATGGTGATTCAGAGCACAGGCAGAAGAGGTCAAAGTTCAAACAGGGCCACCATGGCATCTGTCACTCTGTCAGTGACCTGCTGGGTCCGTCCACCACTCTGCCTCGGGCTTCTCTACCAGTAAAGCCACGAGGTAGCAACCTAGCACAGCAGTAATGGCACCCGCTACTGTGAGGTAAGTGCTTCCTCCTCCTGGGCTCTGGGGGGGGGGGGAGACGAGGCTCTGACACGAGCTAACCTCTTCATTTCATATAGTTATTTCTTCGTGCATCTGGGCTTAAACCTAGGGCTTTGTCCATGGTTGGCAACACTCTGCTACTCAGCCATAATCCTGGCCCTACTGGTTTTCATTCCTTGAATCTTTATTTATGAGTCTCTGTGTGTGTCTGGGGGTCTTTTACATGTGTGGATGCCCCTGGAACCCAGAAGAAGGCGCCAGAACTTCTGGTGCAGGAGTCATAGGTGGTTGTGAGCCATCTGACATGGGTGCTAAGAACCAAACTCAGATCCTCTGCAAGAAAGCTGGGCCATACATCTGTCTCAGGTATTTGTTTTTGTTTACATGACTTTTTGAGGAATCACATAGGGCAGTCTGGCCTGGAACTATTGCTAGTTTGGGGCTGCAGAGATGACTTGAGAGGGTGGGTGTCTCAGCCTTGGCTGAGTCTACTTAGTGGGAGTCTACTTAGGAAAAGGCCTCTTTGCTCCTGGAAAAGATCTTGAGGCAGAAAAGCTTGCTTTTTGTCTCTGTCAAAGTGGTAGCCATCTTGGAACTGCCATGGGGTCTAATCTATGCATTGAAGTTGGGGACACAAAGGGAAAGAATCTGGTTGGGGGTGCTGAGGAGGGCCAATTCATCACCTTTGGAGCGTCAGGCCTAGGTGGCTTGTTTTAATACATAATGGTTCCCTGCATGATTCAAGCGCCTTTAATTAGATTTCCTGTTACTCCCAGCCAGAGACACCCTTGCCACCTCCAGTCCACACAGCCCACACACACACACACACACACAGCACACACGCACGCACGCGCTTACACACAGCACACACACACAGCACACACGCACGCACGCGCTTACACACAGCACACACACACAGCACACACGCACGCACGCGCTTACACACAGCACACACACACACACACAGCACACACGCACGCACACAGCACACACACACACACACACAGCACACACACACACACACACACAGCACACACGCACGCACACGCTTACACACAGCACACACACACACACACAGCACACACGCACGCACACAGCACACATACACAGCACACACACACACACACACACAGCACACACACACAGCACACACGCACGCACACAGCACACACACACACACACAGCACACACACACAGCCCACACACACACACAGCACACACTGCACGCACGCGCTTACACAGCACACATACACACACACACACACACGCACGCACACAGACACTCACACGCGCGCACACACACACGCACGCACGCACACACGGCACACATACACACACGCACACAGACACTCACACGTGCGCGCGCACACACACACACACACGCACGCACACACAGACACGCACACACACACACACACCCCATCTCACCAGCAGGGCTCGCACTGCCTCTGTCACAGCCTCCTTCTCTGCCTCCAGGCTCCGGATCTGCTCCCGCAGCTGCCTCAACTCCTGCCACGTGGAGATCTGTGGGAGGAAGGGAATGGGCCACCGCTCTGAGCCTCATCTCCTGGCCACTTGAACGGCAGCCGGTGAGGCTCGGGGTGTCCTCCCGTCAGAGCTACAACACCCAGGAGCCCAGCTGCCCTGAACCCAGCTCACTTTGCAGTCACTTCAGTTGGTGTGACCAAGAGAACCAAGGGACAAGCGTGGCTGTGTGACTCTTGTTCTTTTTGGTTTTGTGAGACAGCCCAGGGTGGCCTTGAACTTGTAATCATCCCGTCCTTCTCTGAGTGCTGGGACCTTAGAGGCACCAGCACGCCTGGCTATGTCACGTCTTTATAGGTAACTAAACTTTCTTTTCTCTTTCTTATTTATTTTGTGTGTGGCCATGGCATGGAAGTCAGAAGACAACTTACTTGTAGGAGTTGGTTCTCTCCTTCCACTACGTGGATGCCAGGGACTGAACTCAGGCCATCAGCTTGGCAGTTAGGTGCCTTTCCCTGCCAAGCCACTTCCCCTGATTCTTCTTTAAATATAAGGTCTCCTTCAGTGGTCCTGGCTAGCCTGGAACTTGCTACGTAGACCAGGCTGGTCTCAAACTCAGAGAGATCTGCCTGTCTCTGCCTCCTCCAGAGTACTGGGATTAAAAGTGAGAGCCACCATGCACAGACAGATCCTTCTATTATCGTCACTATTGTTTGTGCCTGTATGGAGGTCGGAAGACAATACTCTCAGGAGTTGGGTTTTTCCTATCACCTGGGAATCTAACTCAGGCTGTCATGCCTGGCAGCAAGTGCGCCACGTGGCCCACAGAGACTTAAATGAGGCTAAAGTGTACTGTACACACGTTACAGTGTCTGGTGTGAGAGGGTGAGGATTGAGTGAAAAATGTCCCCCACAGTCACATAGGCTCAGAGGTCAGCGTCTGGTGGTGCTTGGGGAGGTTGAGGGGGCGTGGTCTTGCTGGAGGTAGGCTTTCACAGCTTAAAACCTTGCCCTACATCTAGTTTGCTCTCTGTCTCACGCTGGTGGTTAAAGGAACGAGCTCTCAGTTTTCTGCCCTGCCACCCGCTGCCATTCTGCCCCTGCCAACCCCAAATACAAATTTCCCCTGAGTTGGTTTGGTCATGGTGTTTTAGCGCAGCAACAGAAAAATAATACAGCATGGAGTTGGGAAGACGTGAGTGATCCATTCTGCCCAGAACTCACTACTGACATGGTGATCCCCAATTCTAGTTCCCTGTAAGGTGGTATTATGTAAACACTAAAGATTTTATTATCCGCACCTAGTCTCAACATCTGGATCATAAGTGTTGCTTAAATACCTGTCCATCGGGTATTTATTCATTCAAGCCTGTTTGCTATGAGAGCAGGATACAGAAATGTCTCCAAGAGTCCCTCCCCCATCTGATATGAACTTCATTCCTCATTTTTCCTTTGTGGCCTAAGGGCGAGCCTGGCATGAAGTCTGAGCACAGAAGACAATGGTATTTAAGTTCTGGGAGTAGATAGATGCCAAGCGTCCAATTACTACATACATGCAAAAGGGCGCGCGGGCCACGGAAGGCATCCTCGACATTCAGTGGTGCCTCGGTTCTCAGTGGGCCAGTGGCACATAAGTGGGCGTCATGCACAAGACATTGCCTAACTCGGGAAGGGACCCAAATTCCTGTAAGCTGTTCCTCCCACTCCTGGAACGCAGCGGACAAACCCTGTTCTTTCTGCAAAGCTAGCAGCCAGCGCAGGCGCACTCACAATCGCAGGCAGGTCGGCCGGCCGCAGCTCCCCCTTGCGGAGCTCCAGGGCGCGCGCGGTCGCTTCTGGGCATGCGCACACCGACTCCATGTCCAAGTTAGGGAGCTCGCTGTAGCCCTCACGTGCATGTTCATACAGGAGGTTCCGAACTCGTTTCTCTGTAGCGAAACTTCTCCTGGGGTTCTGGGTGCACACGCAGCGTCCTCGGGACCGGAGGCCCTGGTGAGCCAGAAGAGGCCACAAGATCCGTGCCATGGACGCAGCCATCCTGGACTGGAAACCGGGAGTCACTCACCAGGGACCAGCCAATCAGGGGCGGAAAGAGATTCCCGCCCAGGCTTCAGAAACCCATCCAATAAGGAAAGCTGACCCGAGATAGACTCCGTCGTCGTCCAATGGTCACCTTTGTCCCGCCCCTTTCGCGAAGTGGCCAATCACTAAAGAGAACCCCCGGAAGGGGCTGGAGACAGACTCTAGCGTGTCTACGACCCCGCTAGGTTGGCGAGGTGAGTGCAGTTAGTTACCTGTCCTCCAAGCCCTCTCTCTCTCTCTCTCTCTCTCTCTCTCTCTCTCTCTCTCTCTCTCTCTCTCTCTCTCTCTCCCCCCCCCACTTTCCCCTTCCAGTGTCGGGGTGAGGGCGACTGGGTCCCTGGGGGCCTACTCAGAGTGGGGCTGAATTTGCGAGGGAACTTTCTATTCACAACATAAAGGGTTGATCTTCACCGTGTAGAGGAGAGCCCTGAAGGCTCTGAGCCTTTCTGAGCATCTTATGTCCTAACACAGGGACGCACCCGGAGCCGAGATGTCCTGGCCCGGCCTTCTCCGTTGTCTCTCCACGTCCCTCAGTCGTGGTAAGTGAAGGTGGGCCGCAGGGACGAGGCTGGATGAGGGCTACTCGCTGGGACTCGTCAGATCTCGGACGGTATCAGCTTTAAACACGGTAGACAGGATGGCCTTTACCTCCTGATCACCCGCTTCAACTGAGTGTTACAGGCGCTCTCCAACCCCAGCCTCCCCCCCCACCCCCCCACCCCGCTCAAGGTGCCAGAGGTGGGAAGCTCCTGTGTCCAGCTGAGTTAAAGGCAATCGTAGGCCTAGATAGTGGTGCATCCCTAAGATTGTATTGCCTACTGATATTCTGTCTTAGTTTGTGTAAGTACGCTCTGATGTTCATGCAACAATCATACCAACAAATGTTCATTTCTCAGCATGTCTCCCCGGTTAGGTGTGTCACCATGGATTTATTCCTTCAGCAATCCAAGCCAGGAATTTTAGCCATTCATTCAAGTGCTATTTTTCTAAGTCTACGATGTGCCTCTCAGTGGAGAGGAACTTTCATGTTTTTAGACATTTCCCAGAAATCAGGGTTGTGTACAGTGTCCTGTAGGAGGTACTGGGGATTTCATTTACCCAGATATTTACTATCCAAACTGGTCTACATAGAGAGGTCCAGGATAGGCAGACCTATGTAGTGAGACGCTGTTTTGTTTAAGTGTTCGATATTGTGTATAAGTTTTGCCTGCATATATCATGGTTGTGAAGGGCATCAGAGCCCCTGGAAGTGGTGTTACAGATGATTGTGAGCTGTCATGTGGGTACCGGGAATTGAACCTGGGCCTCTGTAAGAGTAGTCAGTGCTCTTAACCACAGAACCACCTTCTAGCTCCACAAATACATCGTATTGGTCTGCCTTGAAGACATCCCCTCTAACATTTCCATCTGCCTTTCCTTATATTACACTGCAGCTTCTGTGGTCTGTTTGGGGTTTTTAAGGTACCTAGGCAGGAGCAGTTTGAACAAGAAACCAGTGAAAAGTAAGAAGTAGGGACAGGTTGGGTGGGGTCATTGAGAAGGCTTGGCTTTGCCAGCGTGCTCAGCTCATGTAAAATGTTTAAAGTATCCAAGGAAAGGACTGTATAATTATGGGTAGCTGTTGATAGCATTAGTCCCAAATTCTTCTACATATTTATGCATATGAGTGTCTTACCTGCATGAATATAAGTACCACATGTGTGCAGTGCCCGGGGAGGCCAGAGGAGGCCATCGGATCCCTAGAACTGTCGTTAAAGATGGTTGCTAGCCACCATGTGGTGCTGAGACTTGAACCTGAGTCCTCTGTGAGAGCAACCAGTGCTCTTAACCACTGAGGCATCTCTCAGCCCCTGTATGAATATTTTGCCTGTGTGTATGTAAGTGTATCACATTCATGTGTCAGATCCCCTGGAACTACAGTTAACAAATGGTTGTGAGCAAGAGCAACCATGCTCGTAACTCCTGAGCCATCTGTTGTCCACACACAGTACCTCTAGGCATCAGCAGGGATGACCTTGTAGAGGGCTTGGATCCCTCCCTAAAACATGGAAACCAAGTAGACCCTGTTGTCTCTCTCCAGGCCTGGCCCTAGGCCCCCAGCTCTGGGCCACACGCTCCATGGCCACCCTGAACCAGATGCATCGCTTAGGCCGCCCGAAGGAACCTCCTAAGCGTTTGGGCCCCACAGAAGGCCGGCCACAGCTGAAGGGCGTGGTGTTACGCACGTTCATCAGAAAGCCAAAGAAGCCCAACTCGGCCAACCGCAAGTGCTGCCGAGTGCGCCTCAGTACAGGCAAAGAGGCTGTCTGCTTCATCCCCGGGGAGGGCCACACCCTGCAGGAGCACCATGTGGTCCTTGTGGAGGGTGGCCGCACCCAAGACCTGCCTGGGGTTAAGCTCAAAGTCGTGAGGGGCAAGTATGACTGTGGCCACGTGCAGAAGAAGAAGTGACCATAATTCATAGTGGCCAGGCACTGGGACCTCGGAAACCAGTCCTTCCTGCCCCAGGGGCAACTAGGCTTGGGTTCACATCTCACTCCAACTCATCAAGACTGCATTAATCTGCAAGAGATCTGGAGGTTAATTGGGAGCAAACACCCCTCTGCCCATCCCCTTGGCTTCCATGTTCGATGGTCCATGGGGGGGAGGTGGGGGGGCATCATACTGCTGGGATGGGAGTTGTAATAAACACATCTGCAGGTTGTGGTGTCGCCCATCGTGCAGTGTCTGCACCCAGCTGTGATTGCGAATGCCGATCCCTGCACCCCAGTTCCCTCTTCCAGAAGACCATTCACTGACAGAGAATCTGTTCTGGGTGCTGAAGATTATTAACCAGATGCTCTACTTGATTAGCACTTGTGTGTGTGCGCGTGTGTTGCTGGTGATGGTGTGGGTTCTTACAGCACCAAGAGGAGTAAAGGCCCATCCCAAATGTGGCCATCTGCCAAATAATGGTAAGGTTGATACTGGAAGGCTGATGAAATGGTTAAATGGGTAGTGAGTGGTGGTGCATGTCTGTGAGACCCTTTCTCAAAAGGGAGGGCAGATGGGTTATATGACTCAGTTTGCTGGAGCTTATATTTTGATCAGTCTGTATATTTGTGGCTGCTCGTGGGGGCCCTTCTAGAGCTGGAGTTACTAGAGATTGTGAGCCACTGATGTGAGTACAGGGATCAAGCTCTCATCCTCTGGAGGTTGGAGCAAAGGTTCTTAACAACCGAGCCATGTCTCCAGCCCCTGGGAGCCTCTGCCTCTGGCCTTTAGTTTCTTGCCTTGAGTAGTGGCATCAATTGTAATGTGGCCTTTTATGATCATGGGTGTGGACATGATGATTTTAAGCTTTAAGAGATATGCTCACATTATTGGGCTCTAGGGTTCAACTGATCCCAGCCGTGTGTGTGTGTGTGTGTGTGTGTGTGTGTGCTGTTGAATAATCCTGTACACTATGTGAATAGATGTCACTATGATTGTTTAATAAACAAGCTGACTGGCCAATAGCTGAACATGATAAAGTTCTGCAGAAAAGCCAAACAGAGAAGGAAACCCTGTCTTAGATAGGCCATTGGAAGAAGGACCCTTAAGAACTAGCCTTCAGCCAAGTGTGGTGGCTTACACCTTAATTCCAATGTGGTGATATATTTTATGATTCAGAAAGCAAAGCCAGCCACAAGCCATAGAAGTCAGGAGTGGTGATACACACTTTTAATTCTAGTAGTCACACTAGCTAGCCAGGCAGTGGTGGCTCACACCTTTAGTCCCAGGCCTCAGGAGACAAAGGCAGATGGATCTCTCTGAGTTCAAGGCCACCCAAGGCTATGTGAGATTGAATCAGCCTAGAAGAGTAAAGAGCTCATGCCATTAATCCCAGGACTCATGAGAGGTATTTAGGACAAGAACAGGGTCTCAGAGCTGGCATTCATTCTCCAGCCACATTGAGGACAGGAAGGCACTGATCCTTCAGTCGCCCTGAGGAGAGACAGCAGTCTGAGGCCTGGTAAGAGCTTGTGGACACCGGGCAGCCCTTTTAGCCTGAGGTAGAGGTGAGAGCTAGTGGCTGGCTGCTTCGCTTTTCTAATCTTCAGCTTGAAGCTTGGACCCCAGTATTAGTCTCTGGGCTTTTATTTTTCATGTCACACTATAGAGGCTGAGGCAGGAGGATTGCTTTGACTTTGAGACAGTCTGGAATGCGGAGTGAGTCAAGAAGAAGGAACAAAACAAAAGCTAAGCTGGTTTGGATCCTGGAAACTAAGCCGGCCAGGGTCCTGGAAGCTTGTCTCCAGTGCTCTGCACCAACACAGCCTCTCGGTGGTCTGACTGTACACGCATGGCCACGTGTGCTTCTGTATCAGGACTGGAGGCAGACAGGAGCACAGCTTGCAGACAGAAACTTTCTACAGTCTCATATTTTTCTTGATTGAGGCCGAGTCTCATATCCCAGGCCAGCTTGGAACTCTGTGTGTAGCCAAGAATGGCCTTGAACCATCCTCCATCCTGTACCTCCCGAGTTCTGGGGTTACAGGCAGCAATCATCATGCCCAGCTTTATGTGATGCTGGGGATGGGCACATGGGGCCTTTCGCATGCTGGGCAAGTGTTTTACCACTGAGCTCGGACCTCTGCTTCAGCACCAGGTTTTGTTTTTTGTTTTTAAGATTAAAAATTTTTCTGTGAGTTCGAGGCCAGCCTGGTCTACAAGAGCTAGTCCTAGGACAGGCAGGACTATACAAAGAAACCCTGTCTCAAAAATAAATAAATAAATAAAAATTTAAAAACATTTAGGTATTGTGTGTGTGTGTGTGTGTGTGTGTGTGAGTGCAGCTGCCTCTGGAGTCCAGATGTATCAAATCCTCCAGGAGCTGGAGTTACACGTGGTTGTGAGCTGCCTGGTGTGGTGCTGGAAAGCAAACTTGAGTCTTCTGTAAGATCAGTTTATGCCCCTAACCATTGAGCCATCTGCCAACCTCTCTAACACACCCTGCCAGGGACTACCCCAGCGGGTATGGGAGTCCCTTGGGATGAGGGTCCTCAAAGACTGGGTAAAAATTCAGCAGTGACAAACAGAAACAAACACAGAGGCAGTTTGAATCTGAGTGTATTTTGCAGTTCTCAAGCAAGGCTTTTATATAGAGATGCTTTCTCCGTGGATGTTTTTGTTAAGCAAACCCAAACACATGACATTAATGTTACTTGGCACAGTAGTGCAGAAACCCAAAACATAAAGTCATCCAGGGTTAATCAAGACACAAAATCGTCCTTGGTTAATCAAAGCATAGAATTGTCCTTGGTTAACATAGAATCATCCAAGGCTAACTGCATATTTCTTAAATCAAATTAATATATTTTTATGGTCAGTTATTGTTTAACATCTGTTACCTAGTTCTTGTGAGTTTTTTAAATACTGAGCTATTTTAACTATTCTAACTCTTTCTTATTAAAAGCTTCCTTTACCAGACACTTAAGCCCACTCTCAACACATGTACAACCATATGAAATTTTATTGTTGGGATATTTTATTATCTGTACTTATGTGAATGACGTGAATGATTTGGAAAATGATTTGGAGGTGAGGTTATGGCTAGTGACCCCATCTCAGGGAATGGTTTCTTATCCATATCTTTCACTTGAAATGTAGGTTTTCACTTGAAGTGTAGGTTTTCAGGAATATTTTGCTAATATGAAAAAGGAATAGAAGAACAAATAGAAATTGCCATGAGAATCACAGCCCAGTATTTTTCTCTGGCTGAGAGTTTCACAACTAGTTTCAGGAGACCTTTTTTTGAAGTTATCACCTTAGTCTGTGGAACTTGTCACACAGAATCTACTGGATCTGGTGTGACAACACACACAGAGCGGCATACACAACTTATATTTTATGTGCATTGGTGTTTTGCCTGCATGTATGTCTGTATGAAGGTGTTCAATTCAATTCCCTGGATTTACAGACAGTTGTGAGCCACCATGTGGGTGCCAGGAATTGAACTTGGGTCCTCTGGAAGAGCAGCAGCGCTCCTAACCACTGAGCCATCTCCCCAGCCCCTTAACGCCAGCTTTATTGGGCAGTTGGGGGGATTTAGAGCAGGTGTTAGGGGAGCCTCCCCCATAGCCTGTCTGGTGCCAGGCAATTCTACAGGAAGGGAGCTGCAGGAGAGGAGGGTGTTGCCAGGCAGGAGGCAAGGGGTCTCTGAGGAACTGATGAGAAATGTTGCCAGCCTGGCAAAGTGAGGTGCCACAGAGCAGTAGAGATGGACATTGTTCCCGGGTGAATAGGTACAGAGACCCACAGCTGGATCTGAGGCTTCTCCAATTGTCAGTTTCCTGGTAGGTACGTGTTGATTTCCAGGACTGTTCCCTGCTAACAACTAACCCATCCCCAAAATGTGCAGATGAGACAATGCCCAGGGCTGGAGAGACGGCTCAGTGAGTGAAGGTAGCTGCCAGCAACCCTGGTCTGAACGTGATGCCCTGGATACGCATGGTTAAGGGAGAACCTACTCCTGCAAATTGTCCTCTGACCTCCCCACATGTACAGGGACGTGTTTGTCTACACAAGAGGTTCTCAACCTGTGAGTCGTGACCCCTTTGAGGTTGAATGACCCTTTCATGGGGGTCTTCTAAGTCCATTGGAAAACACAGGTATTTACAGTATGATTCATAACGGCAAAATTAAAGTTCTAAAGTAACAAAGAATTTTATGGTTGGGGGTCACCACAACATGAACTATATTAAAGGGTCGCAGTATCAAGGAAGGTTGAGAACTACTGGTTTACACAAACCAAAGAAAGCATTGTGAATGGCCCTTTCAGAACACTCAGGTTCCGTTCCCAGCACCCATGCTGTGTGGCTCACGACCATCTTTAACACCAGTTCCCTCTCTGGATCCCTGCGCCCACGCGCATATCCCCACATACTGGCACACAGTTAACATAAATCTTGTTTTCAAAAAGTAACTGTCTCCTTGTAAGTAGCTTTCTCCTTTTGTTATAATTCTGAGCATGGCCTATGGGATGTTTTGTTTTTGTGACAGGGTCTCAACGAAGCTCAGGCTGGCCTGGAACTCAGTATACAGCTGAGGGTGACTTTGATCCCCCTGCCTCTACGTAGAGTGCTGGGATTGGAAGTGTGTGCTATCAGGTCTGGCTTGGCCCGGCTTTGTGCGTTTGTGCTCTCGTTTTGACATAGTTTACCACTGACATCCGTACATGAAGCAGTTCCCAGACTGGTAACCTAGAGATGTCTGTGTCACTGTGGTCCCTGCTCGAGGAGAGAAGGACACTATAAAGAAGCTGGTTAGTCCCTGGTTTGTCACAGCAGGAGGGCCATGATGCCGAAATAGCAAGTACGTAGGGGAGTCACATAGGATCCTGCCTTTGCTGGGAGCTGCGGAGCCACCTTTGACTTTAACGCCATCTAGGAGAAGGCAGTGTGTCCTGGAAGTCCGGAAGGGCTGATCAGCTAGGACAGACGGATCCTGACCCGCACGCTGGAGTGGGTCACAAGGGCACCACAGTGTCCCACCCAGGAACGTGTGTCTCTTCCTCACTGCTCAAAGACACATATCGGATACCCCTGCCAAAGTCAGTGAAGACATGAGAGACCTGTGAGAAAAGACAGCGACAGAGGAGGCT